CCTCACCTCCGCGTGAGCCGATGAGCGACGATAGACATACATTGCATGTCGCTACAAGTAACGGAGACTTGTCACAACGAAGACTCAGCGGTCATCCGTTCACTCACACACTATCGGTCAACCCCAAATATGCTACCAGTCAACGAACCCCCTCAGCCACCTCATCCTTGAGTATCCGGACCTCGGGATCGTATTCGTCTACGCTGTCTATTGGAGGTAGCAGTATGACCAGCCTTTCTCCGTACGACCGGCCATCTCCAGGTGGTTTTTCACCAAGCTCTGATCTTGATACTTTCCACGAAAAATCGATCCTCAACCCTAGCCCTCCTGCGCCACTACCTCAGCCTACTCTTTCAAGACTCCCAGGACCTACATCTTTAGAACCACCTGCAACAGACGCCACTGGAAAGGTGCCTGTGCCGACGACCATTATGAACGTGCCAAAGCCGGCCGCCCCGAAGATCGGCGGACTGTTCATCTGCGATTGCTGTCCAAAGAAGCCCAAGAAATTCGACAATCCAGATGGCCTGCGGTAAGTTGAGGCCGAGATATCTTCATTATATGAGCTATACTAATTTGAAACAGTGCACACGAGATGGAAAAACAGTATGCATGCGCCTACTGCAACCACCGTTTCAAGAACAAGAACGAAGCCGAGCGACACCAAAACTCCCTCCACCTACGACGCCATTCATGGTCGTGCGCCGCGCTCGTGAGTTTCCAAGCAGCATTCCACGCCTCAGGCGCACAGTCCTGCCAGACAAATGCCGGACCTACCCATGATACGTGCGGCTACTGCGGGGAGGAATTCCCCAATTTCCCTCAGGCAGACTGGGACCGACGTTTTGAGCACTTAACCACTGTGCACAAATTCGGCGAGTGCAACAACGCGAAGAAATTTTTCCGCGCAGATCACTTCCGACAGCATCTGAAGCATAGCCATGCTGGCACCAGTGGAAAATGGACGAATATCTTGGAAAATGCTTGCATGAAAGAAGAGCAGCCGCCAGAGCCTCGCGAGCCTCGGGGCACTAAGGATAAAAATGCTTCTGGCTCCCAGGACGGGGGATCATTGACGTCCAATGCCATCTCGGAAGTTCTTAGCGAGCAATGACAATCAATAAGTCGTGTCTCCCTTGATCGGGGATTTCCTTTGCCTTGTAACATCCGCCTACAAGACGGTTCCCGGCAAGTGGCTCTGTGCTGTTAATTGCATTCCTCGCCAGTTCATATTCCGGGGTTGGATAATAGTTTTACCCGCGTGGCATCAGTCGTCTCTCTCTTCTTTTGGATAATCGAGACTCTAACTCATTCGTATCTAAATGAGTCTGGAATTGGAATCGGAATCCCGAATCTCCGCCTTATGGCTGTTATAAAAGACAGCATCACCTCAACATCACTCAACACCCACGGGATATTCTCTCATCTCTCACAAACAACCACCCCACCCCCCCCCAAAAAAAAAACCCCCCCCCCCCCCCCCCAAAAAAAAAAAAACAAAAGACGCCCCATATTCACACTAGAAAATGCAAAGTGAAACAAATCACTTCACGAAAAACCCACTGCAGGCCAAAGAAAGCCTGGAATCACGACCCGAAACGAACATTTTGAAATTTTTCCCTTACCGCGAGAGGAGAAGGAAGGGAAAAGGGAGTTATAGTTAGGACTGAGATCTTTTGCAGTTGAATCAACCTCTGTGTATACCCCGGTTGCATTGCAATGGTTCGGGAGGATTCTTCATATCATTCTCATCTCATTTTTACATGGAGTCGGTTTCATACTTGGTTCTTCGGCTGGGTGGACTGGATGGAATATCTGCGCTCGGCTTGTGTCTATTGTTCTTTGCTGTTATATACATATTCCCCGCCAGTTTTATACATACTTTTGTTGGATGGAACAGTGAGGCGGATGGAGGGGCGTTGTATATAGATTCTTCTTTCTTTGCATGGTAGCCTTCAGAGAATATATGGCATTTACAAAAGAAAACAAAACTGTTCAATATACAAAACCCTTAAACGATCTAAATCTAACAGGAAAATAACATCCCCAATCCCAGAATGCAAAAGAAACCACCCAGCCAGCTTTTATCTACTCAGTAACGCTGTCCTTGATACTCCGCAGCGCGCTCATCTTATGCGCCGGGTCAATAGCAGCAGCATTCTGGGCTCTCCGACGGGCATCAGCCCAAAGCATGAACTCACCATAGCTCTTAGGCATAACCTGCACATCCTTCTCAACAAGGAAAGTGTAGTTAAACATGCCAGTGGACTTCTTCGTGCCGTGCTCGACATCCCGCACCTTGGAGTCAACACGCACCTGCACCTTGGTGTACTTGGTACTATCGCCCTCTCGCTCCTCGGGTTCCGTGTAAGAAACTGTCGCGCGCAGGTACAGCACGCTGCCCACGGGGACTGGGTTCTCAAATGTGCTGGGATCCAGAGCGACGAAGTTTGGTCGAGCGTGTGCAAATGATGCGGCGCAGCAGAAGGCCAGCTCGAAGGTCTGTTTTAGCAGGAAGCCACCGAAGATCATGAAGTTGTGTCGGTTACGGTATTGGGGTTGCATGATCATGGCGGATTTGAGCACTGTGTCGCTCATGAAAACCTGGTTCTCGGGGCGCTTAACTCCGCTCTGGGGCTCTGGGGGAGGTCAGTATTTAGGCGATATATTTGGTGTTATATTGTTCATACTTAGGTAGGACATTTCCTTCGTCCACATCGAGTGGATCAGGTTGCTCTCTTCGTCGTCGGGTGATTTCTCTAAGAGACTGCGTGTGCGAAGGGCCTTCTTGGCTTGGTAATTTGCCTCGCCCTTTCGGAAAAGGCGCTTCTCCTCCTCGGTTTCAACGATGAGAGGCGCCACTGGGACGGGCCTGGTTTCCTGATGTTAGTTTATGTGTATGGCTCAACCATACAGGAGGAACATACAACTTGGTAGCCGGATCCAGCGAGACCATTGTGAAAGCACAAGTGATCAGGACATCTTCAGGCTTCGGCTCCTGGCCTTCGGGGCGGGCCTTGGTGACCTGAAGGGAGATTTCCATACTTGATCGACCTGTCGCGTAGGTACATTGGCCACTGAGCTCAAGGTCGCAGATTTCCATCAGCGGGTTCTCAATGGTGATCCGGTCACATGCCGCAGTGACAGTAGATACACCGTCACCTGTGTGACGGTAGGCAACGATACCAGCTAGGGCATCAAGGTCCATCAGGAGTGAGCCCAACCTAGTTGGAATGATCAGTCGCTTGCTCTTTTGATAGGTAGGCCATCAAGAACACACCTAATATGCCCGGAGGCGTTGAGATAAGAATCCAAAAGCCATTTGTCTTGGGCCAAAGGCAAAATCTACCAATCAGTCAATATCAACATACCGTTTTCCACTCCGCCAGATACACGTACAGCACTGTAATAGCTATCCGACATCTTCTTTGGCGAGACATCAGGCTTAACGCTCTGCCCGGCTTTCTCCTCCGGTCCAGCCTTCTCAGCCTCGCGACTCTGTGTCAGCGCATCGATCCATGGGGTCTTGACACGCATGGGCATCCACGTTGGACGGGACCCTGCCTGAGACGGCGTGGAGTGAAAGTCCTGGGTGTTGATACAGGATGGCTGAGCTGCGACTGCGGCTCGCGCGGGCAGCGCAGTCAGACATTTTGAGCGAGCAAGCGCTGTTCTTCTACTGAGGCCAAACATTGTGATACCAAAGGAAGAGGAACTAAAAATGAGCTGGAAATGTAAATATTTCGGTAGATCGTACCCCGTACTCAAAATGACGATGCCCGAGGATCTGATGTATGCGGAAGGCGGTAGTGACCAGGGGAGATCTAATTACTCCATGGCTTGGCATAAATTGACCGCCCTGGTCATTTGAGTTTATCAACTTACTCGCAATTTACTTCACTTGGCTTATTTGATTTACTCGAATGACAGATGGAACGAGCAAGTATCCTGCAGCAATACTCCAACCTACTTATTGTGTTGTGTCACTCCGTGAGAATTGATCAAAAGGTTATACATGGAAAACAAATTAAGCCTTTTTTGCCATCAACCAGGTTCAGCCCCGGATGGCCGCTACTGCCGCCCGTACCATTTGCCCGATCTGGTTAGGCCCCGGGGATTCTCGGCTCGGATACGAAAAGCGGTGTCATCGCTTCCGAGGGTGCGAATGCCTCCAAAGCAAAGTGTAAGTGTACAAAGAATGGAATCATAGTATGCCGACTCGGCCCGGGATATAAGCTGCTGGTTAAATCCAACCCCCGGTTGTCATACATCTGTAAAGATACGACGGTCGTCTCTCCGTTCTTACCGATCTTACAGCTTTATACCTCGGAAGGTCAATGTCGCTTGCTCAGTGTTGATTGTATCAGAATTTCCAACATTCCAAAATTTAAATTGAACATGCTCAACTGTGACTAATTATTTTCACTTGGTCTACGGAGTACTTGAAGGTAGGTAAGATGCAAACTCAAGATCGGAACGTGTAATATATATCTTGCGGTCCAATTAAGCTTAACCAAGCTTAAGCTTGTTATGTTTCCAAGCATCGTCAAAATGAAGTCATAGGTAAGATATTGATTTATAAAGACTCACCTTGAAGAAAACTAGCTCTTTAATTTTGTAACTATTCGGATTGACATATCGATTCAAAGAATCTGAAATCAAAAACATATCTACCGCCAATATGAGTGACCCAACAAACCCACACATTAAAGAGCGCACCACACCTCAATGGGCTCTCTACCAGCGAGAGAACTTCTGGAAACAGAACGAGGGAACGACACCATTATTCAATACTGGCAAGATCTACCTATGATTCTTCCAAACATACAAAAGCCTAATCTCAACAGACCCCCGAAAATTGGAAGAAAGAGCAAAGGAGAAGCTGAGCGAGGGCGGCTGGTACACAACGCTCTCCATAAGACGAGACCAGCGATATCCCGATACACATCAACTAACCAAAACCCCCTCCGATCAGGTACTACGCCTCCTCAAATGCAGGAATGTCAAACACACACCTCGCAAACCGACAAGCCTTCTACCGACACCGAATAATCCCAAATCAACTAATCGACACGAACAACCGCTCGACAAGGACATCACTCTTCAATCATTCCGTATCCGCCCCAATCGGCTTCGCGCCAATCGGAATCAACAAAATTTACCACCCAGATGGCGAAGTCGCAGTCTCGAAAGTTGCCAGCGAGCTCAACTTACCGTACTGCCTCTCAACAGCCGGCAGCACGTCGATTGAAAAAGTCGCATCAGCAAACGGGGATACAGGCATCCGGTTTTTCCAACTCTACATGCCGCACGACGATGAGCTAACTGTATCACTTCTAACGCGGGCATGGGACAACGGTTTCGATACACTGATTCTCACGACGGATACGTGGCAGCTTGGATGGAGACATGATGACGTTGCCTTGTCGAACTATGCATTTTACCGTGGATTCGGGGCAGATATGGGACTTGAGGATCCTGTTTTTCGTGAGAGGTGTGCTGCGGAGGGCATTGATCCTGATGTTGATGTTGTTGCAGCGTCGACTAAGTGGATTGATTCTATTTGGCATGGGCGGGCTTGGTCGTGGGAGAAGATTCCTTGGTTGATGGAGATTTGGAAGGGTATTAGTGGAGGACGGCCGTTTGTGATCAAGGGGATTCAGTCGGTTGGTGATGCGAGGAGGTGTGTTGAGCTTGGTGTTGAGGGGATTATTGTGAGTAATCATGCTGGGAGGCAGGTTGATGGTGCTATTGCTAGTCTCGATGCGCTTGAGAGGATTTCTGAGGCTGTTGGGGATAAGATTCACGTTATGTTTGATTCTGGGGTGAGGGGCGCTAGTGATGTAGTTAAGGCATTGGCACTGGGGGCACGCTTTGTGTTTATCGGACGGCTTTGGGTTTGGGGGTTGAGTATTCAAGGGGAGGACGGGGTGAGGCATGTGATGAAGTCGTTACTGGCGGATTTGGATATATTGATGGGGATTGCTGGGTTCAACAGGGTCGAAGATTTCACTCGGGACATGCTTGGTTGGCCTTGCCTGTGTTACGATATGAGGATGAGCGCTGATTATGGAATGCAGAGTCTGATCCAAAGAATTATATGCTTATACCACAGAAGACTTTATGAAAGGAAGACCTTCCTAGCTGGATGCTGCTGTGAAATGCATTCGATCCAAAACTCGGCCTCTTTATCGAAGAATGTGCAATTGAAAGCTTGGTTTGATCTGGGTACGCGGCGGTATAGGTAGGGGTCAAACCCCCATTTCTAGGCAATATCGATGCCCTGCCTTATTTTCTGAAATAAGGCCAGTAGAATAATTCAGATACTTGGATTACTATTACAAGATAGTCGCCCGTATGAGCGGCCTTGTGATGTCTTTTCAGTGCTCTCTTTAGTGATCTTAGATATTATTCTGTTTATATATACTAGTTCTATAGGTCGACGGTTTTTTAATGCATAAGCTTTCAACCTTTGATAGTCCAGTGCGAGGAGCAGTCAAGAAGGTGACGGCGAAAAAAGATGAGAAGTTTAGAGGTTGGGGGGGGGGGGGGTACCTTGCACCTTCCAATTCATTCAGAAACTTGGAAAGCGTGGAAGGTAATTTGAGTGGAGATGAGCACAAGTAAAAAAAAAAGTGTATTATGGGTTGTAGACTTTTGTCTATGTAGATGAAAATAATTACAAGTCATGTCCAGTTCAAATGAAGGATAGATGTTGGATGTTCCACATGAAACGAATGATATATGCAGCCGAAAAAAAGCCGAATAGACAAAGTGCCCGCCAACGAATGCAAGAATGGGTACTCGTATGTGGACCCGATGATATTAACAGAAGTGAAATGATGTGCATGCACGGAGTCAATAGTAAAAAAGATGCACGGAAAGGACATGGGGAATAAGTGAGTGCGCACTAATACAAAGAGCAGGATTATGATTGCCGCCAAATCGAAAAAAAAGCAGAAAAGGGAAAATACGGGCTAAACGCAGTTCAAATAGCGAATGCGGCAAGAATGATCGGGAGAATAGACCAGCTAATGCCGCGGACGAGGTGGGATGCGGAGCTGTCTGAGATTGTGGCCATTGCAGAGTGGATTGATGATGATGATGTGGCATCGGGAGCAGATTTAGTGGTGGCAGTGACTGGCGGTGGAGTGAATGTCCCATTGCCCGTGGAGGATGAGGTTGAGGATGAATTTGATTTCGATGCCGAGGCCGAGGCTGAGGCAAGAGCGCCGAAACCGACTTTTGCATTGTCGAAATCGAACACAGTGTAGACGTTCTTCAAAAAGACATCGCCGACAAGCCAAGTTGCGCCGTTGGATGCATAGCCGACAATGGTCGAAACGCAGTAGTCCGAATTGGTGCCGTTAGGTTTTCCGACATAATCCTTCGGGGAGACGTTATATTTGACGCCAGAGAACTCGAACTCTATGGTAGAAGTCGAGTTACATGGGATCAAATAGTTGTCCTGGTCGTCAGCGGGCTGATGAGGCGAATCAGGGAGTTTAGATGAATCAGGCACAAGAGAAAACAGGGTTTCCGCATCTGAGGGAGGAATCATGAGATAGGTGGTTCCGGTATCGATGGTAGCAGATTTTCCGGAAAAGTTGCAACTTTTTCCATTCACATAAGCATCATCTAGAGGGATACTCCAGGTTTTGCCCTTGGTAGCAGTGTAGGAGATGGTACCATCGAATTTGGTTGTATCGACACCACCAAAGTTAATTTCACCATCCTTGCCGCCGTCTACCGAGCGAGAGAGACTGAATCCAACCAGGTTTGACTTGATGAGCTTTTTATCCGCGACGAGATCCATAAAAGATGGCAAATTCCACCCTTCTGTGTGCGACCGACCTAGGCCAAGGATCCCGTCGAATGGGTAACTCTGAAAGTTCTCGGAAATATTGTTGGCTTGACCGAAAGTTTGCGTGACTTCGAGCCCTGCAATTGAGATGGTGTCTTTTCCCATCTTTCCGTCGACTCTGCCGCTGCCGTAATAGAGGCTGAAAGTCGAACCGTCGGTGGTGTAGCTGGTTGATGAGGACTTGTCGAACTTGTGATGACGTTCGCAGACGTCCATATTGCAACTTGAGTCGTAGACCCAAGTATTAGGTGCTCCAGTATCGATTGCCATCCACATTTCTTTCTTTTCAGAACCTACGTACACGGGGGAGAAATATGAATAATCCGTTCCGTCCTGATTCAATGGTGCACTGTTTGGCAAAGACGGCTTATGAGACTCGACGATTTTATAGCCATCGTCGCGGCGAACGGGCATTTTCTTCAGGTCAAGGGTCCAAGTTTTCGTGTCAGCTGTGCTGGATGTGTCGGTGGTCTCATCGGATGTCGCTTCAATTAAGGTCCATGGAATAAAGCGACGTTCAACTGGAGCTTCCACAGAAGCTCCCACTCGCAATTCCCATGGATAAAAGGCGTGCACGCCTGAGATGCCGGCAATGAAGACCAGGCATGATGAGAGTTGCATGATCCCTGGGGGATTTTAAGCAGAAGATGTAAAAAACTGCATTTGAGAAACCGAAACCGGATATGTTTGGATGTCTTATACCGTCACACAAAAATAGAAGATCGAAAGAAAAGAAAAAAATTAACCAAATAGTAGAGAAATAGCAGAGAAATCAAAAATGAAGTCGAAAAGATGTGAGGGGGGGGGAAGTGGCGAACGGTCCCCACAATGAACCCCTGAACAAGAACTCCAGTTGGCTCTAAACCGGTTTGAGTGTTAGCTTCTCATTATCATCCACTTGGTCTAACGCTTTTTCTAGTGCTGATCAGCTAAAAATGGAGCTAGTGGAAGTCCAAGCTCATTGATCTTGTCTCTGACCTATTTTTCTATTTTTATATAGCAAAGTTACATCTTAATAGCTTCATATTGAAGTTTATGGGAAATAAATAAATAACCGGAAAGTAAAAACCTCACAGAATGTGACATCTGGATCGTACAAAATTGAAATCCCATTACAACGTAGACGTACATACGGTCTAGACTGAATTTACGTATTCACCTGGGCCCAGAACGTCTGACCCTGGCAGGGAGGGACCACTTTTATTTTGCAGTTCTTTTTAGGTCTACTCCGTATTTACTATATAATACAATTCATGGTTCGCTAAATGATAATTGACTCAAGCTTGAATAGCTATCTATTTTACGGATTTTGACCGGTTTATTCGATGTTCCTTACTCTGTATAATAATCGGCTATCTGAAATATATCTATGTAGATCATGAGCTAACTGTGGAGACCGATAAAACTGGACACATCCAGGAGCGCTGCATAACAAGTTGCGTGGATAGCATGAGAGGCAAATAATGATTCTGTTTCCAAACTGAATAGCCCCTATATCATAAACCAACCCCAGTCATCTAAAACCAATACTCCATGTACCTGACAATGTCTCGCGCTTGTCTCACAAGCCCCGTAGTGAACGCTTACAACTTTCAAAATAAGAACCTAAATATAATAGTCATACAATGTGCGACCCGTATGTTGTATGTATTAGTGCCTTGGTAAATATCGAATTTAGACATTGGTGATAACATCTCAATTTGATATGAGAGTCCTCACTCTTTGATTGCTCCAACGAAATTCATATGTTGTGCATAATTATAGTGCATATATAACTATACATAGATTATGGCCTTATTGTGCTCAAATTCGTAGTTGCCTTAGCGAATTAGCTTCAGCCACAATCAATTGCTGACATTTAGACCGGCTAAATAGGCCCAATTGAGAAGGGCTGTTTGCGACCTGAGGACCTCGGGAAGCGCACTAATAAGCTGAGGATCCTACCTCAACTGGCACCATGCACATAGTTAATGTACCTACATACGTAGGTAGAGAACAAAAAAATCCTAACATACTGTAAAGAACCGGCAAAATATAGGCCCAACGCAAACAACAGCTATCGTCAAAACAAGAACAGTGAATGGTGGACATATATAGCAAGATCCCAAAATCCCTGCAAACCGATTGACAAATCAATCAGATGCTCGCCTTCAACTCTCCCCAAGATTGCCCAGGCGAGACTCCACCCGTAGGGCTAGCCATAGTAGCAAAAAGCGAGTCGTACCAAACTACATAATTAGCAACAAGCGCTTTAGAAGTACCTTGTAAGCACTTACGCAGTGCATCTTCCTCTTCCTTCGTAGTTAACCGGCCAGTCCGCTCAGCACGAATAGCAAATTTGCCCCCATCATGACGTTTCAAGTGCCCCCGGAGGTTTCGGGTCTCTTGCGCACGCTATATAATAATTACCTCTCTACCCTAGGTAGCCAATTAAGCATTTAAAAAGCCTGTGCACTTACCTTAATCTTATGTTTGCACTTCTCATGACGGCAGTAGGCTTCACCAGGGTGAACAATTGCCGCTCCGTTACTATCATACTCGTAGCCAGGCATTACCAACTGACCAGTTGCAACCTCTGTGATGTACCTTTCGTACGCAGGATACCCAGCAAGGAAACGATATGAGGGCATATTGACTGATTTGATTTAAAAGTTGGTTGAAAAAAATGAACTCGAGATGAATAAAAACAGCACCAAATAAGGCCTTCCGAGATACCCGTAGATGTCCTGGGGGGTTTTGATGTAAGATGAGTATAGACTTGCAATGCCCATGGGTGGAATATGCGGGACCTCCCGAGGCGGGGCCCTCCAGGGCTCCGGGGCCCCGGGGCTGCTTGAAGATTATGTAATCGGCAGCAAAGGCCCAGGGCCATCAATGTGTCGACTAGGGAAACTGCAAGGTTCGAAGAACAACCCTCTGAAGAAACCAAGGTAAGTGGAGAAATGAAGGCACTTAATGAAACTGAAAGAGACATCGGGAGTCCACGTGGGGCGAGAGTAAACCTAGTAGCCTAGATGGCGGTATTTCATCGGACCTACCTTTGCGTCCGATGGATATTCGTTGAAATGTTGAAGATAATCTCGGAAAATCATACCATGACTCATCTCTCTGGTGTTCCAGGGCTGGGCTGGTGACCTCGGGTTAATGGTTTGATTATGGTGTCGGAGTCGGTCGTAGATCATGGTGGGTATCGAATCTACTGCCTCGGCACAACGAAAACCGCGTTTTTTCGGGTTGGTTCGACCAAAGCGTATTTGAGTCATCTGTGGCAATGGATTGGTGGTAAAATAAATTGAAAATGTGTGTACGGAAAGGATCATTGTGGGGTTTGAATTGCTCTCCGAGGTCGCTTTGTGCTTATCTTACAATATTCCTATACAAAACTGGACCCGATAAAATGAACTTTTTAAACACATCGATAGAAGAGACCATGAAATTTTGTGGATAGTCATGTTCAATTGAATTGGAACAACTTGATAGAGATGTAGTGAAATAACATAAATAGAAAACAATGCCTATGATCGGCTGGCTGACACCATGGAGGAAGACGTCCACTCCATGGGAAAGATATTACATCAAAACGCTAGTATGTCAAACAATCCGACGAACCCAAACAAGGTAAGACAAGATAAAGCCTGAACAATGTATCAGGCAACAAAAAGAATTCGTTTCATCACAGACCCGTCAACGGGACTGAAAACAACAAGAATATACCAGAGACATAATCAGAAGACTCTACTTTCTCTGGGCACTTCCTTTGGGGCCCATGACATCATCAAGGAAACCAGCCCAAAGCTCACGTATGACACCAGGCTCAGAAGCACCGTTTGACCGGCGCTGAATCTCCTCGCCGACACGTGAACGACCAACAGTCTCGGTAAGTGAGAATGGGTCGAGGTCGATGGCGTGATTATCGACAACCTCGCTCATTGCGCTGGCAGGGACATCAGCTCCGGTGCCGGCCACGGTGTAGATCTGGGGCTTCATGGGTGGGGCGGTGGGTGTTTGGCGCCATGGGATGGAGGGAAGCTCGGGAAGGACCGGGACTTGAATACTGCGTTGCAGAGGGGCGGCATCGAGCTCTGCCATGCTGGGCATGTAGACGAAGTCGACGGTGGAGGAGTCATTCAAGGCCTTTGTGGCGCGGGATGTATTGAATTGACGGGAGGAAGAGGAGCTGGAGTATGTTAGGTTTAGGTTCAATTTTTTGACAGTTTGGAATGGAAGTATGGATGGATGTATATAATGGAATGGGTGAAACATACTCTGAGAATGCACTGCCGTTGATTCTGCGCATGGCGATGCTGAAGGCACGGGATTGAAGGACATCATGGTTGGAGAGGGCCTTCTCGCCGGTATTGGCGGGTTGAGCGGACTGGACTCCAGTGATGTGAAGGTTGCGGCGAGTAGAGGGTGCCACGGGCTGCTGGGAGAGAGCGCGGAGAGCGCGGACAGATGATGAACGGGGAGCAGTCATTGTGATGGTGAAGTGTATAGAGTTATAGCTTTGAGATAGAGCTAGGTTGGAAGGCGAGAGGTGGTCTCAAAGTATAGTGGAAAAGGAGAGGGGAAAGAGGAAAATAAGGGAGCAAGGGGAGTATGAGAGTAGAGCAGGCAAGCTTTATAGAGCTAGGAATGGTTGGGGAGAGCTATGAGAGCAGTTCTTGGCAGTCTGGACCGTTATCGATAGTGTAGAACCAAAAAAAAGTAGAGCACGTCAACACTGAAAAATAGGGTAGTAGTGGGTTTATTTTTGAAAGAGATTTCTTTAAAATGTTGAGAAGAGGGGAAATAAGCATTACCTTTTATATATAGACCATATGTACCTATCTATGACTTGAGTTCAACAATTCACTCAGACAGAGATCTACGGCGTAAGTAGCAGGTACCCAGTGATCGGGACTGTAGGCTACCCCGTACCCACCAGAACACGGAGTGACAAGATGTACCCAGTACATCACTTACCCCCCGAAAATGATGTATTCTCTACTTCTCTCCCCCCACCAACCAAAACCCCCCCTGCAGCCTCCTCCCCAACTACAACCAATGTCAATCCTCCTTTCCTCTCCTACTACTTTATCTATCAATTCTTTTCTACTTTATATACTCACTCACCCCCCCCCCCCCCCCCTCTCCCCTCTCCCCTCTTCATCTCCTGAAACTGTTGATCATTACGTCTTCTTTGGGCCAATGATATAATCACCGGAATAAACATCGGTCATTATTGGATATGTCTAAAGAATGGGGTAAAATGGCATCCTCTTTTGTACAACGGCCTTCCAAGGTTGAATTCTAGATGCACAACGGTTTCGTTATGCTTATCCACCATCTATGAGTGGCTCATAATTCGGTCTGCAACTTGGAAATCCTCCATAAAAATGAATGGAATTCCAATTTTGGGGATACCATGGTTAGTCGCCGATCCTCAACTGTTGAGGAATCCAACTGGGTAAATGGATTCTAAGAATAATATGAGTCCACCTAAGATTAGTTTATTCCCTTAATAAGTGGAGCGGTGAGTCTCGGAGTTGGGTCCTCCCTTCCGAATGATCTTCACATTTTAGCTATTCTCCGTCCTACACGGTATACTCCGTACTTTGTACTTCATTCTGCATCCATGATTATTCTATGGTGCAACGTGTCCAACGGTTAGAGATACTTTTCTCCGCAATCGCTTATTTTTTCCGGAAGTTCCGGATCGAAGGGATCGTGTTGAGATCAGCAGACCTTATAGGTGGCTGTGCTTACTATTGGTTTTGTGGCCAGGGGGGAGTATTCAATAGCTGTAAGGACCCGTTCTGGTCAAGTGTCAAGAGATCTTGGCAGGAATCTATCGACTTGTTCCCCTGTATCTCATCCCTAGATCACAAGATATGGAATGGGGCATCTTTTTGTTGAGGTACATAGGCAACCTTGGAAGTGTACTACATATTGTTCACCAATTCCTAGTTTATCTGCGAGGCAACTGATGTATGCATACGGAAGCACTCCGTACTGTATATGCTGTATGGTACCGCCTAAATAGATGGCTCACATTCCCGCGCGATGGGATTGGTCAACCGACGTCGCAACTCCAGTGCCACAACTTTCCATGTTCAAAGTCTTGATGACCCCCGTCGTCCTTTAGCTATGGCATGAGCATACGGATGCGATCGGGATGCTGGAACCAGGTGGTCGACATCCCCAGTGTGCACGAGATCAGGGGACGCCTCCGCCAGGGATGTGATGCCAATGTTCCGCATAGATGTTTCCAGCTCATCTTGCATAACTGCGAAAAACTTGAGTCAGCAAGATATAAAAGTAGGATGTTACACCATTACTTACTGTCAATCAAATGCTCGACTCCCTCCTGGCCGTAATTGGTAGCAAAGAGCATGCTCCGGCCCATTCCCACGGCCGTTGCGCCCAGACAAACAGCCTTGAGGATGTCAGTTCCACGCCGAATGCCGCTGTCCACATAGACCTCCATATGATCAAAGACCTCCGGGCAGCGCTTATGGATCTCCAGGAGTGTGATGATCGACGGCGGACTGGTATCCAAGTTGCGACCGCCATGATTGCTGAGCAAGATACCATCAAGCCCCGCCTTCATAGCGAGCAGCGCATCATCTGCTGACATCACACCTTTCAAACACACTGGTTTGTGCGTGTGTTGTCTCACCCATTTCAAATCCTCCCATGTCAGGCCGGGATCAATGAACCCAGACATGACTCGCCCAAGGCCGCCGCCTTTCTTGTCGTTGTGCACCTTTGATGGCGCCATGGGCACTGATAAGTTCTCATCTGCTTTGACGCGCTCGTCGGCTTCGCGCTTACCGGGCCACGCGGCATCCACGGTAACAAAAATGGCTTTGATGTTCGGATTCGCTGAACACTGGCGCAGCAGGTCGGCGGACTTCGCTCGATCTCTGTTGACGTACAATTGGAAGAAGAAGTCAGCCGAGGGCGCTGCTGTGCGCAGCTCCTCCATCGTGTAGGATGAGTTGTTTGAAATCTACCCAGATCGTAAGCATGATGACTGACAGTGGTAACACACCATGTAAGCTCACTCCTTGCATGATTCCTTTGTTTGCGCAGGCTCTAGCGATGGCGCGCTCTCCGTCCGGGTGGATGAGTTTTGCCATTGCTGCCGGGCTCACGAATAGCGGGAGTTTGTAACTTCCGCCGAGCATATTTGTCCTAGCGTCTACTGAACGGACATTTCTTAGGACTCGCGGCCGGAACCAGATGCGGTCAAAGCATGACTTATTGGCGTTCCGTGTGATCAGATCTGTAGCTGCACTGGAGTAGAAGGCCCAGGTCTTCTTGTTGGCGGTTTTCGAAGCCATGACCTCGAAGTCGTGCGAGTTGATCAGGGTATGCAACGGAGCTTTCTCATTTTCCAGTATAACCCTGGGACTCTCCTCCGGGGGTACTTTCGCCCACTCAGCGTCAATTGTAGACTCATCGAGGACGCCCATATACTTTTTCGGGTCAAGATTGTTCTTCATTACGCTAGGGGCGTGAACTTCTGAATATGCTTTCGTTGCATCTCTGCCTGCGTGCTTCAGGATAACTATTGGCGAGGTGATTTAGATATTTTCCTGAGATGATACATTTACCAGCGTACGTACTCGCAGATCCCCCAGGATGCTCTTCCAAAAAGTCGGTCACGTCCCACACATGTTTGTCAACCACAACCCAGCAGTCTTCGGGCGTTTTGTGCTCTGAGATCTGCTGAGCAGACAGAAGTCTTTTGTCCCCCATTGCTGTTAGAATTGTTGTATTAGCCAGGAAGAAACTGAGGCAAATCGAGTGACGCTGGCCCTGTATGTGGGATTGTGAAGGATAATTAATGAGACGGAGACAAGATCGAAGCAGCCATCCACAGCAAACTAAATACTCGGCAAGGGTCCGGGGCGGGGCCTTCGGCAATGTCCCCGAACCTACCCCGGACTGTACGGGCTAAAGTTCCCCGAGCTTCGTCCTCGAGCACCCAGCTTCCTATGTTGTACATAGCAAGGCTGGAGGATGGAAGGGGACTGTCATGGACACGGCCAATAAGCATGTAGATAATGCCAGTGGTCAGCGCAGAAAGTAACTAAGGGACGTGTGTTTTGTGCGAAAGTGCGTATCTCGTAGATTATCTTGGCGCGCGGAAATTCCCGACTGGCTTTCTTCCCCGGATCTTCATCAAATTTCCTTACGGAAAAGGATTAGCCGCAACCGAATATTCCTAGTTCCCTCGTTTCTGGAAACAGTGAAGAGAAGATAAGGAACGGATACAGAAAGGGCGGATATTGCTGGGCTTACCCGGTCGAAGCATTGGTTAAAGAAATGTTCCTGCACGCGTTCTCGAACCACACGTGCTAAGAATAACAAAACTACATGAACATACTTTTGCTGTTACATGGTGAATATGCGAGATAATATCCAGTTGAGATTTGTAACTAAGGTTTTTGCTGTAGAATTTGACAGTATGCAAGAGTCTAATTGGAGATACATGTAATGCGAGACGGCCTGAATCAGGGTAAACATCTATAATGCATATAGTGAGTGCCAAGAAATATACTAAAGGGTGAAATTCGTCTTTAGTAGCATTGATGAAACATCAGAATAAGATACGACAGTGCCTTATAGACCTTATCATATATAGAACACTGTTACTTTATACTCAAGGTCCTTTACTATCAAGCCAGGCATATGTAAATCGAGTAAATATCTTTTAAATGACATGAATACACACCGAAGAGCTTTTAGAGTTCAAAAACTTGATCAAGAAATGTATGAATAGTAGATGGCAATATCATACAGAAGTAGTTTTCTGCATATAAGAGCGTACGAGCTCACGATATTGCGTTACTACTAGTAGCTGCTTCGTTGCCTCGTACCATATCCTGCGTCATACAGTAGTCGCACTTGAAAAAGTTGCTCGGGTAGAAGTGAGTATCTGATTAATCGCTTCTTGATTTGACCTCGGGAGGTTGTACAAGCATTGGCCAAGTCGAAACGTATACTCGCCCGACATATACCATGATCGGCGTCCAATACTCCATCTCTAATAATACGAATAGATCACGCTAGCTGTAAGTGGAAGACTGCAAGTCAGGCCCCTCTCGTCAATGTTGTCTACCGAGTTGGCTAGGGTGCATACCTTGGCCTGGATGATTGTGAGGTTATTAGAAGCTGACCAGACAGTTCGTATCCTGTATATATTCCTGTATATATTCGCGCTCAATCTTTTATACCACTCGGTTCCTCTTCCCATGCCACAAGACACAATCTTTGATATCGACATAAATACTTCTACCTCACTGACCTTTGTGAATATGAAGGTGGCTATTTTCGAATCGGATCTTTATACTCAGAATGCGGGTGCCAGTACAAAGCTATCCGCAGATATGAGAGCATTGGAGAAGTTGCGGGAGGCTTGGAGTCTGGATATGGCTCCTCGTCTATTTAAAACGAAAAGCTCTGTTGGAACTTATGACTCGCACATGAAATCCATTATATTTGAAGAAAGTGTATCATGGACCCGTCAGCTTAGGAATTTCCCTGAGATATTTCTGGCTAAAGATTCTCCATGTCGCCGTGGGCTTGTCCCTCGGGGAAAATTCCTTTTGGCAGCTATGGCAGAAGTTTTCCCAGTACCCGATAAGCCTTTCTGGCACGCCGTGGCCGAGAACGTCTACGGATATCCGTGGTGCTTGCTCGATAACACTTCATTGTGCCATGAATGTTTGAAAGGAGCTTGTACAGCCGGCGTATTAGCCAGCTTTCCAGACTACTTTCATTTTCTGGAAGAATTGCCGCTGATTCTGGATTTTTGTACTCAGAATGTGGAGGAATTCATCACTCATGTTCATCAATGCCATGCTGCAGATGGCCCTGAGCGCAAAGCTATGGATGCCTGGATGATGTGCGTGCAGTCCGTCTATCTTGATGTGCTACACCCTAAATCCAACCAGCTGAGGTTTCCAGACGACGAACTGCGAAGTATCAGATACCGTCTAATCAACTCTGCTGGACGTGCCTTGGCTTTAGACGCTCGCATGGAAGCCCACCCAACAGCTGGCGAAGACAGTATTGTTGACGCTGTCGCGTTCGCCTCAACTGTAATGCACGACATCTGCGACTACCGTCATGATAATACTGCCAATGAGTTCTACAATCTGATAACTATTGTCAGCGGTCACACCAAGGTCCCAAGTGTTGGTATGATTCGCCGTTTTTGCGTTGATGTGTGGGCTTGGGCTCTTGACCTTGGAGAATTGTGGGCTATCCGCCTGGCTGGACGAGAGCTTGCCTGGCAGATATACATGGCACGGTACCAAACTGCTCTTTTATTAGACTGCCTCAGCCCTCCCTCTTCGCCTGAGGCCACTGCTATTGATCTATACGGCGACCAGGTGCTGAACGGGCTGAACCCGTTACCTCAGTTTGAGGAGCCACGAAACTACGATCTCCGCTCTCGTTGTCAGAACAAGGAGAATTATGATCGTCTGCTTCAAGAGTGTTTGATCCATTTCAACTCCTGCGATGGCTGTCGCCGATATGATACGGCTAGCTGGACGGAGCGCGTCCCGCTCATTGGTGCTGCTTATCAGAAGAAGTATGAAAACTGTAACTGCTTAAACACTATCAGCAATTATATGATCCTCAAATCTCCGGACCGGCTTTGGTGGCTTGCAGAACCCACTGCTGAATACAGCGGCCCCAAAAGCGACTGGTCGTCTCTGCTCTGCTGAGCATGCGGAAGTACTTGACGATAAACATGTTGGTAAAGCATTCAGAAGGCAAGGAATATCATCAAAATGTCGTCTGAATCAGATTGAATGGCCATGGATGATACTAGATAGGACGACGTTGTGATGCTTTCTGTTCCTGTTCGTGTCTGTCCAACATATTCTCGGTTATAGAGCGATAAATACAGATATATAGCCGGCAACAATCCTACTTGCTGTATAGGTATTCCTGTTGGTATGCTTTGGTGCCTTCGGCATTGCTCAGATAGATGAGCACGGATGGTAAACTGTAGCTCAAACCGTAATGACGTCACTTCCCGAGTGGTCCCTGGGAATAGTCGCCTGAAGTTCCAGGCGCAATATTGTCACCAGCCACAGCAAAGCCACAGCCCTGGTGTGGCTGGGATTTTTTCCACCTTGAGTCAAACGTATTTATGCTCGGCAGACGACATTTTATCAACACAACAACGAGGGTCTTTATTCTGGTTATCTGATGCAAATTAATCCTGCTGGAAGCTGTGCTTTGAGATTTTTCAGCCGCAATATTCCCTTGGGTGTGAGGTCGACAGGGATAAATAACCCCGTTCTGTTAGGTCTGTTTCGTGTCCAATTATAAGCCGATTAGCCAGCACAGCTATGATAAGTCTGACTGGTCTTGGAAAACCTTGAACTGACTCATGTCGTAGATTTTAATAAGGTTCGCAGCTGGGCTGGTTTGTCTTCTGTAAATCTCATATCTGCTGGAAATCCCAGAACAATCTCCACAGCCGGAAGACAACAGACTACGTTCAATATGGCCGAATCTAAACCTCTCCGATATGTTGATGTATGTAGTCACTTATTGACAGCCTCACCATTGAAAGGCTAATGCATATCATAACTAACTACAAAATACTAGATTGGTATCAACTTGAGTGATCCTGTTTTCCGCGGTGAATATCATGGAAAGCAGGCCCATGAAGATGATCTCGAAGACGTTATCCAGCGTGCTCGGGATGTAGGTTGCTCAAAGTTCATGGTTACCGGCTCAGATCTTGTAGAATCGAAACACGCTGTTCATATCGCCAGCAAATACCGTAAGTTTCGAACTTGCCAGGCCGTTCCCTTTTCTTATTAACAACCGGATTATGCAGCTGGCTTCTGTTATGCAACAGTTGGTGTGCATCCATGTCAAGCAAAGCTATTCGACGAATTCCCAGGCGGTCCATCAAAAATGTTGGAGGAGCTCCGCGCTCTAGCAATTGAGTCCATGCAGTCTGGGCATGCTGTCGCATTCGGCGAAATTGGTCTTGATTATGATCGACTATTCCTGAGCCCCAAGGAGCCACAGCTCAAATATTTCGAGGCCCAACTAGACCTGGCTGTTGAGATCCAGCTGCCTTTATTCCTCCACTCCAGAGCTGCAAGCGAGGACTTTGAGCGACTCCTTGCTCCAAGGCTTGCCAAGCTTCCCAAGCGAGGACTTGTGCACAGCTTCACGGGGACAATGGATGAGATGAACAGGATGGTAGCGCTGGGCCTTGATGTCGGTGTTAACGGGTGCAGTCTGAAGACAGAGGAGAACTTGGAGGTTGTCAAAGCTATTCCACTCGACCGGCTCCAAATTGAAACTGATGGGCCATGGGTATGTATTTGGCTCTAAGATCTGGTTGGATCAGTAGTGACTAACTCTCCCCTAGTGTGAAATCCGCCCCTCTCATGCATCTGCAAAGCACCTAAACGGTGCACCAGATCTGCCGAAGGCCGTGAAGAAAGAGAAATGGCAGAAGGGGTGTATGGTGAAGGGCCGGAACGAGCCTATTGCCATCGCTCGTGTTGCTCATGTGATTGCTAGCGTCAAGGGTATCACAGTGGAGGAAGTGTGCGAAGCGTAAGATGTTGATTCGCCCTGATTCTCGACTTCATGCTAACTCATTTTTCTTTCTAGCGCTTGGAACAACTCTATCAGAATGTTCGGGTTGGGCGAGGAGTCGCCTTGATTTCGGATATTGCTTCAGATAGATGATAAACAATACATGAATACTGTGTGGTACGCAACCACGTCACAACTGTGACTTTTATAGCTGATATGAAGTTCTCCTTCGCCCATCTTGTTATCTGCCTTGTTCTAAGTGTCAGCCATATTGAATTTGTAGAGGTAAAGGGTTCAAGAACCCGAACGTAACTTCTGTAGACAGCACGGTGACTTATAATGCTCATCCCCTTAATGGGACGGGGGATGGGGGAGCGATTGCGGGATGTAGCGCTCCATCCAAGAGGACACCGGCACATTCTTTGTCTTTATTCTTCACTCGCCCCAAACTCTGGCGCAGAACGTCCCCCTTCCAGCCACGGCACCCTAAGCCACCTGCCGTCAGCGGGTTTTGTTTGGAAGCTTAGAAGTTTCCCCTCTTACAGCCACGACATTGTTTGTCTGATGCCTTGTTTTTGGAGTTTTAACTAGCTATAAAAGCAGCCTCGTTTCTCAGAGAGTCAGAATCCTTCTTTCCTCCCCCATTCGTTTGAAATTACCACATGCAGAAGGCCAACTTGCATATCATAATGATAGAATTATATAACATACTGTGATTAGGAAGGTCGTTTGCTGGACAGCAACCTCACGGAGAACTGGAAATCTCATGTACTTGTCATTGTTTTATGAATTCCCTTTTCTCACCTATTATTCCTGTTTCTGCCGCACTGTTAGGATCGACTTTCGCACAAGAGAAAAGTACTTGCGAGAGTATAAATAGCATCACGGCAAAGCTGATCGACATCGAAGACCACCCAATACTTATCCATTGCAACCAGGAAAAGGTACATATGGAGGTTTCCCTATTCTCAACAACGCGTCTGTTAAAGGTATCTACTAAACACTCGAATAGCACCGCACTGGATGTGTTGGCTGCCTTCGGATGCTCCAACAACTTGGGAGAGGTCGTGCCAGGGATTTACAGATCGGCAATTCCAAACGTCGACCTTTACCAATCCCATCTCCAGGACATAAAAACTACCATGTACGCAGACTGTTCTTCCAACTGTCTAATGTCCTTCGGCCAACAGAAGCATGTAGTAAATTGGTCGACACTCCGTACCAAACGGCTGAGGAAGAATTCATCAAGGCAAATGAAATCAATGTCCATGCATTTGTTCTACAGCCCAACAAGGATACAAATGCAGTAGGCACATCTAGCGAGGAGGTCAATTTGATTATGACGAAACTACTTGATAAGAAAAATCACCCTGTCCTGATCTATTGCAACCAGGGAAAGGTATTTTTACCTATTTCCAAGAACACATGTACATTGGGGCATTTACTAATTACTCAAATAGTATCGTCCCGGGTTCCTTGTCGGTTGCTTCAGGCGAATACAGGGGTGGAAACTCGAGGATATTCTGGCGGAATACAGGTAATATGGTGGCCTAAAGGCTCGAGCTCTTGGTGAAAGTTTAGAGCTATACCAGCCAGGTTCAATCCGCCAGATCGCCCAAGTTTCCAAGGTTATCATGCGGAGATTTCGGTTTATAACAATTTGGTGATAGTTTTCAACATATGGAGGACTTCTGATTTGAGGATCGACCTGGTTTGGCTTTCAATAGAGTCTGTGTTATGTATATGGTTCATTTCAATAATCTTGTAACCAAGTCAGCCTGACTTCGAAAATTGAAGCCAATTGGTATGATGGGCATGAATAAACTACTAGTATTCCTCGAGTCTCTTGGAAATTACCTAAGTATTCCTAAAGCCACCTGCTAGAAGAATGATTGAGGGCGCCTGTCGTGGTTATCCGATTACGACGCCCATAGATGGCGGATAGACATCTTAACGTACCCATTCATTGTTGGTATAAAATGTAGTATTTACTGTGATAACAAATTATACTTCTATGTATAATCTAAGTAAAGATTACTATATATCATAGCAAAAGTGTCACGTAAAAAAAGTCTAAAGGTCGTCAGCCATTATAATGTCTGTATCGTATGCCTCCTCATCTTCTCGAGGATGATGATCTGTCACATAATCTCCCGAATAATCCACCAAGTCGCTATGATTTGAGAGAAGCATGATATCGTGATCACCATACGAAGTCTGAGAAGACCCAATTGTTGAGGTCAACGTATCAAGGGATGTTTGGGTTGATCCCCCGATATCTGTGAAGCTTGTCTCGCTGACATTGTCCAAAAGCTGATCCTCGGATTCGTTATTTAGAAGAGGCACGTCACATTCTTCGTCCTCGACGTGATTTTGTACCAGAAAGGAGTACTGCAACCCCGAGTTTCCGTTCTCGGGTTGTAGCTGATCCGTATACATGGGATGCACGGCCTCTGCTGACCTAGCCAGCCCTTTCGCTGGACGATTTGTAGAGAGCATCGAAGCTCGTCTTTTGGTCGGCTTTAGCTTGGGCACAGTTTTCTGGGAAATCCGCCAAAGTGATGAGAGGAGTGCAGCCCTGCAACTTAAAACTTGAGGTCGCACCGTTAGATCATCCTTGTGGTGGGAGCGATTGAGCTCCAAAAAATCCGCTAATTTGGTTTTGGTGGAGGGATCTTTCTTTCCTGCCAGCATAGACGATATGGCTTTCGTAATTATTGGTATTGTGACTCCACGCTGGTTTATCTCCTTGGTCAAATTAGTCGTTTATTTCCATGACTGAGACTGGAAAAACCTACATGCCGATATCCAGGATCAAACACCGCGGGATAGAGATCTGCTAAACTCTTGATCGTGCCATGTTGTGGGACACGAATTGTGGGATCTTTGATAGAGTTGGAAATAATCAGTCTTCGAATTCCAAGGTCGAACAGCCGGAAGAGTTCGTCGCATGACGAGTTTGATTGATATTCAGATATGCAACAAGACTGTGATTCAAGAGCTTCAGAAAACCCCTCGGAAGGCACTGCTTGCAGGATTGCGACGCCTGTCCCAGTCTCTAGCAGTTGAGGATGGGGGACAGCAGATGGCTCTTGTTCAAGAAGACCAACCTCCAATCTAGAATAGTCCTGTGCTTGTGGTATATTATTGTCGGGAAAGTTATACTCCAGCCAAACGTCGATTGAAGCTAAGGTGGCTACCGGTACACCGGTGGGCGGACATGCGTCTGGGGGATTGGTCATTGAATACGGCAAAGTCCGACCTGTTGTGTGGTTCCGCGTTTGACACCCTCTATGCAGACCAAGTTTGAGGCAATGGAAACCCGAAATGTCAACGCAAGATTCACGTCCTCCCGTCTTGAGCTCGGCTAAGAGTCCGACAGCTGACCAGATCTGGAACAAGGAATGGTCAGTTTTTAATTTCGGAAATCTTGCCTCACACACACCTCCATATTACAGAGTTTGCCTCTCAACTGTGATACGAATGCCGCTACTTCATTTCGATCCCAATTGCCCCCAATGAACAAGCGCAACTCCAGCTCTGGAGCCTCCATTATCCATGCATCTTCAAGATTTGGCAAGTTTGAGACGTCAATTGGTGCTTGGGGAGCTTCATTTCTTGGTGGTTGGCTGAAATGAGCCAATGCGGTCACACGAAGCTGTAACTTTGAATCTCGGATTTGGAGAGTGGATCGACCCAAGTCGAGCTTTTGTGTCATTGTAGAAGAAGCTCAGCACCAATGCATTATGTATTTTTGGAGAGCTGTGGCAGTCATTCAAAGGAGCAAATTGGGGATTGGTGGTGTTGAACCGGGAAATGAATGGTGGACTGGGTGTGGCTAGACCTTACAGTACACGGACAGTGCACATGACTTTCAAGTTCTCTGGCCTGACAGTGCTTGCACCCAATTCTCAAGTTTCAGTCTAATTTTACTGCTGATATTATCTTGAGATTTCTATTTGTAGCATACGCTCAATTTAAAGAGCTTTGCTTGAAATGGAGATTGTTCCTGAACTCCAAAACCAGAGCCTACATAAAAGCCCTGGCGCTACCGTGAACATTTTATCAGAAACTGTAAGCTAAATATAGTTTTATAGAGTATATCATACCCTTTACTGGTAAGTATTCTGGATTTTATGTCGCTCTACTTTATTGAGATGTGTTCGATAGCTTCTACGTACCCAGCGGTATAGACGCTAGAGGTCAAACCCCCATTACTGGAAAGTACGAATCCGAATATCTCCATATCTCTAGGGGCTATAAGTGTCAAGAATGAGGTTTTTGATCCATTCAAATAAGAATATCATCATGGATAGCGCGAATAACATTCATCATCTAGCCTCCCGAACCGAACAACTACTCGCTCTCAGTGATCCGATCTAAGGCAGCCTGTGAACCTGACGCAAAGTCATCCAACCTAACCTCCAGACGGCCAATGGTCGGCACGCTCGAAGTAGCCAAGTCCTCTGAAAAGGCTCCAATTGATATTCACTGTCGTTTTGCCGGGGGTTCATCATCAAGTATAGATTTGCAATTGATAGTACTGGGTTCCTCTAGGAACAACACAGCCGATGGGAGTCGCTTTGAGGGACTATCCTTTCGTGACAAGTGGACTTGATAACCTCTGTTAATAGTCGGTCATAAGCAGCCTTGCCATGTCTTTTTGATAGTCTTTTTAGAAGTTTTCTATAAATACTTTTTATTAGTGACGTAGATAGACAGCAGAAATATGCCAGAAATGGTGTAAACAGTGCAGACTTTTCTATGTATAACTCTACAACATACGGAGTACTAGGACTAGGACGATGACATGGATGCAGAGTGGAGTACCTAGCTGTGGACATCCACGTGGCAACCCGTTGTTATCTCTTATCGTACTAGAGAAGTCCTTATCGATAAGATATCACGTGTCACCACCATCCAGGTGGCCTGAAAGTAACCGTTACACTTCTAACTATTCACGGTCAGCGATGCCAGGGGATGAGCTCTCAGAGGATCACCTGTGTGCCCATAATGGCCAGGATGAATATGAAGCTCAAGCACTGTTGCTCACCTCAACTGAGGAGCAGGATTTAGCCTTCCACCCTGAACCTCTCCCGTCGCCGATCCCCTCACAGCACGCGACAAATGGCAAACGCCACTCCTCAATCTCCCAACCTACGGCTGATGGACAGCGCCGCACACCCCGTACCATGAATCGAGTTCGATTTGACATAGAGGAGGAACCCGAAGATCCAAATCGCATTTCCATTGAGCGTGCTTCCAGCCCCGACGACACACTATGGCTGGAGGATGAAGACTATGAACTTGACAATCAGGCGCCAGGAATGCATCATAGTGGGCAATCAATTCCTCTTCTCACAAATATTGAAGCGCCTAGTGTGACACTTGCGACATCGGACGATTTCTTTCCCGAAGAGCATCTCGAAGATGCGCGGCCGCGGAGTGGTATGAAAATGGCGTTCATGAACATGGCCAACAGCATTATCGGGGCGGGAATCATTGGGCAACCTTACGCGCTTCGTCAGGCAGGCATGACAATAGGCATCTTGCTGCTGACTGCCTTGACCATCACGGTGGATTGGACCATTCGATTGATTGTGATTAACTCCAAATTGAGTGGGGCGGATTCGTTCCAGGCGACTATGCAGTATTGTTTCGGGAAAAGTGGACTCATCGCGATCTCTATTGCGCAGTGGGCATTTGCATTCGGTGGCATGGTCGCATTCTGTATTATTGTTGGTGATACTATTCCCCACGTTCTAGGTGCTTTGTTTCCGTCTCTTAGGGATATGTCCTTCCTATGGCTCCTCACAGATCGCCGGGCCGTTATTGTTATCTTTGTTCTAGTTGTTTCATATCCATTGTCTTTGTATAGAGACATTGCCAAGGTCAGATCTTCCCTTCCTTACTCCTTATCAAAGACTAACGGCCAGATAGCTAGCGAAAGCATCTGCCTTAGCATTGGTTAGCATGATAATCATTGTCCTCACGGTAATAACCCAAGGCTTTCGGGTTCCGCCTGAATCGCGGGGAGAAATCAAAAGTCACCTCATATTCAACACTGGCTTTTTTCAAGCCGTCGGGGTTATTTCTTTTGGTGGGTTTTAAGCTGTCCCTGTCAATCGTCGGAAAATCTGCTAACAATTTTCTAGCTTTTGTTTGTCGTATGTTCCTTCTTATCCTACTAATATGGCAATCGCTAATTCTCATAGATCACAACAGTCTTCTGATCTACGGCTCATTGAAAAAGCCAACACTTGACCGTTTCACTCGAGTCACCCATTACTCGACAGGAATCTCGCTGGCGATGTGCCTAGCAATGGGTATCGCAGGGTTCTTATCTTTCGGGTCTAAAACCCAGGGAAACGTTCTGAACAACTTCCGATCAGACAATATCGTTGTCAACATCGCACGATTGTATAACCTTCCCATTGATCTTCATATTTATTTTCTTGACTGACTCCCGACTAGTTGCTTTGGCCTGAACATGTTGACCACACTACCACTGGAGTCCTTCGTCTGTCGTTCCGTCATGATAACCTACTACTTCCCCGACGAACCGCACAACCCCGTTCGGCACGTCATCTTCACAACGGCATTGGTCGTGACTGCAATGGTGTTGTCCTTGATAACATGTGATCTGGGAAGTGTTTTTGAGCTTATTGGCGCGACCAGTGCTGCTGCTCTAGCCTATATATTCCCTCCTCTCTGTTACATCAAGCTGAGCAGTGGTACACGGCGAGAGAAGATCCCGGCGTATCTATGCATTTGCTTCGGGGTGGTTGTGATGGGTGTCAGTGTAGTGCAGGCGGTCCTGAAGATCATTCGAAGTAAGTTTGCAATTGAGCCAAGCTAAATTGTTGCTTCATCGCAACCTCACCACAGATACTAATATTGAACTTTGTCTTTGCAGATGATGGCGAGGCTCATAGTTGCAGTGCACCTTAGGAGGAATTGTTCGAGGACTTTCCACAGGTGGCGCTACTTACATATGTAAGTATCCAGAAGTCAGTAGGCCCAAGAAGTTTCTTTGGAGCTGTGTTTCTATGGACAGTCGTATTCACTGTGTGTATCCACTGTAAACAAATAGCTTTTGTGTATCATATGCTACAATACTCCTATTCAAAAATCGCTACCGTTGCTTATGTGGTAATGAATTGTGATATCTCATGGTAGGTAATAGGTACTTGGATAGCTACAGTGTGTGTAGATTGGAGGGTACACACATATACCTATATAGGTATGTACTTCCACTCTCAAGCCAGAGCAACTAGGCTCGTGAGCCATTGCAAGTTTAGCTTCGCAATCCGTCGGTCTAGCTTCTCATCTTCTACAATTCCGCTCCCTCATCCCAAAGTTCAACGATAATTATCAATGGCTCTATGACTATATCTATAGGTCTTCTCCATCAGGCACTTCCACCAACTCCAAAACGGGTCTCATGTGGATATGCCACCAGGTCATAAATCTTTAACGGAAGGTACGATCGAGGACCTCCAAGTCTATTCCAAGTCGTTCGTGCTTACCCAAATTAGCACTTGCAATTGTTTGTGCACTCACAGACACGTCGTGCCTTTGACCCCAGCAAACTCCGTTCTTTTATTTATTTACTCTTTTCCCATCTCTCTTTCACCCTTTCTCTCCTTCACCCACGGCTCTCACACTTTTGTTTCAATTTCACACACAACTCTGTTGAGTGCCACATCATTCGTTTATCCCCCTATTATCGTCTCTCGGAGACCTTGAGCTTTATTCAAAGGGTCAGTACCTAAAAAGTCACTTCAACCTTGAAATACAATTCCATCCCCTCTTACCCATTCATTACTTACCCTTAAAGCACAATCCAGCTAATTTTACCGTTATAGGCTCTTCACTCGCCGCCGGAAGTGCACCGGCAAGATGGCTGAATCCGCGGAGCAACTCCGCAGGATGCAGATCCTTCAAATGGTGAGAATTTGTCTCTCACTTCTTCTCTGACATTTCTAACAGGTGGCGTCAACAGGCGGATCTAGGAACTGCTCGGCGTGAAAAGATTTCCACTGCTGAGTTCAACAATAAGCCTCGCATACAAGTTGCTGATATTGAATCAAAGCGATATCTCGACCAAAGAGATGAAGCTCAATTGAAAAAATGGGCTAGTAAGTGATGCAATGGAAACTCTTCTGGGCCTCTCTAACTTTGTATCAACTTCTCTCACAGATTTGCACGCTGATATCGGAGATACACGTGGGATGGAAGAACTTGATGACATAAATTGCGGTCAGTCTCACCGAGCGAATTTGCATGCCATGTTGCATCCCAATGGTAGCCACCCGCGCACTTATGCAAATCATCCTTATCCTCTTCCATCTGCAGGTCGTGGCGACGGTGTCATGGGAAAGAGAGGACGAGGTGGCTTTGGTCCCCCTGCATCTACAGGAGCTGCTGCTCTCCCTCCTGCCCCTGCAAGGTAAGATGTCAACATACTCTGCCATTTAGGGCATTCCAACTGACAGAAGAGAATTATAGATCCTCCCACCATGCAACCGTTTCTCACCGGGGACGCCCAGGACCCCGTGGTCGCTCAACTACGATGTCGGCCAGCATTCATTTGGACCCTGCGCTGAATTGCAATAATGACGATAGCGATGCTCGTGACCGAGGAAGGGGACGCGGACGAGGTAAAGGCAAGGGTAGGGGTAACGCCCAAGAACAGGTTCACAGTAAGCTTTGATGGCGGGTACAGAAGGAGAATCCAGCTGACCACTTTCTTAGTCCCATCCGCCCCTAGCAGGGCCCAGCGGCCACCTCCAGCGTGCGTATTGATGAGACTTCCTTTAGTGAAATTCCTATGCTAACCTCTTGATCAGTGTCAACTTTGCCGCTCGAATCTCTGAACCTGGGGACTTCATGTCCGTAGTTCAATCCCGCCGAGCAACCGAAACGTACAAAACGCCCATCGAAATGTCACTCAACGAGCCAAAAGCCGAAGTGCCCATGAGTGGCACACCTAAGAAAACAAGTACCACGGCTCTTGCACCTTCAAAGCCACCGGTTCATGCTGTTCCTGTTGAGAAGACCGCAGCATTGCAGCCCACCAAGACCCAGGCTAGTCCAGCGAAGATTTCTCGACCACATATTGGACCCTATCTAGTGGAGACACCCTCGCCATCGCCTCGTGTTGTTTCTATTGATAAGACAGCATCTTTCAAATCTAAGAAACCCCAGCCTAATACATCCAAACCCACAGAGCCACATAAGAAATCCCCTCTAGTGGCCTCAATCGCTGCAGATGAGATTCAATGGAAGGTTTCGCCTGGTGAACAGCCCCGAAAGAAGGGTGCGGCTCCTTCGCGCAAGAGTAAACTCTCGTCTGAGCAGCCCATCATCCCCCTCGCCGAGGTCAAGAGGACACCTGTTACCAACGCGACTCAACCCAAAGATAGCAAGCGGAATGTTACCCCTGTTAGCCAGAAGACAAAAACGAAGCAGAAAGATCAGTCTCAAGATCTGCTCAGCGAGAATGACCCACCGATCGCAGCCACACAGGTTCTTCGCCCTTTGAGGGCAGTGGCCATACAGAGTCCAGGTACTGCGGAATTGGAAGGTCTCCAGTTTGCCGATAACACGAGTCATTTAATCCCAGCCAAAAGCATCGACGAAGTTATTTGTCCGAAAACAACGGACGATGTCATCCTAGAAACCCACTCTGGCCGCAATGATCAGAGTCAAGAAGTTATCAATGGTCAGCAAATTATTGAAGAACTTCGGGATATGCGCGAATACATCCGTTCGCACCACAGCTTGTCTGCTCGCGATATCGGACGCATACTTGAAGCTAAATTGCACCAGTTGATGCCTACCATATCTTCACCAGCCGCAGAATCTGCAGCCTCAGAGACCGAGGATCAGCTGGATGATCTGCGTGCACCCATCGAATCTCTTTCGGCGTCGCATCAACAAGCTAACGCTGTTGAAGTTTCTTCGGATGCCCGGCGTGACCTTACCCCCTTCGAGGGTCACCGGTCGCCGGCGCCGCATCCACAAACTAACGCTGTTGAGATTTCTTCGGATGCCCGGCGTGACCTTACGCCTTTCGAGGGTCACCGGTCGCCGCCTCCCCCTTCCTCCAGTTCGAATTCGCCTCCTTCTGCTGACAAACGTGCGCACAAGGTATATGTGCCCGGCCTCTCGCCGACCAGAAGTGACAGTCCAGACATTATCTCCCAGCTCGAATCCCTCGAGGTTTCAAACAAACTTGCCCCGCCGCTGCAACCACAGCGCGCAATTCCGACCCCTGTCACTCGTCCTCTGGAGATTTCCAAGAGGGCCGCTAAGTCCAATGCGTCCGTTCAGGTTACTCCCGCTGTGGTTACTCCCGCTGTGGGATCGCGTCCAAAACAGGTGGCAAGAAAGCCAATGACTCTTGATGATTCTATCTTTGCACGACTTACCAGCCCTGCCACTTCGACCTCCAAGGCTACTGAGCCCAATGCGCAATCCCAGATCACGACTCGGGGTTTGAGTGCAAACCATCCGAACATTCCCAGCCGACAAGGTGAAAAAGTCCAATCAAGCGGCGTTCGCACAATCGGCCCCGCGCCGTATAAACCCCGCGTAATTGGTCCTGCTCCCTCAGTTTATGAGCCCACGACATTTCGCGACCTGCCAGAGGCTCAGGTTCGTATTCTCTCCGCCCATCAGGCAACCATGGATGCTCGCACCGAAAACCGCCCCTTTATGAATGTTGCAACCCATGGCCAATCCAGTGGCCCAGCTTCCGAGCAGCCTGTGGGTCGACTGTCTTCAATGCCAGACCCGGCAACCTTCATGGAGCCCAAAGTGAAGACTGCTGCTTCCATCCCTACTAGCCGTCCTCGGCGCCAGTAAATGGCATCCAATCTACAAAAATGTGTGTCTCAGTGGGCTTGCTCTCCTACTGGCCTTAGACAGCTCTAATTGTCTATGATTTCGATATCGATGTTCTTTTGATCTCCTCTATGGCCCAGTTGAGCTTTGAGACCGTTTGCCTTTTCTAGCTGAATGGTGTCCCTGTTTTCAGTTGTTCAAATGTGGAAGAGCAAACGGTCAATGATCGTTTAACAGGCTATTGTATGATTAATCAAATAATCAAGTTCACCAATTTTTCTGCCTCCTACTTCAATGTAAATGTAGGTAGTTCATCCCACAGCGCTGAGGGAAACAAACCCTAAACACAGACACGTAGCCAGGGGCAAGGCGACTTAATCTCGATCTCCTCAATGGCCTAGGATTTCAGCGGAAACATATAAGCCTGTGAACTAGAACTAATATAAGCTGCAGTTACCTTCCCAGGAAGATGCAGCTCGTGTCTAGCCATCTGTTTCCTCAGCGATGCAATGCAGGCTACCTTGGTAGTATCTCACACCATGAAATAAGGATATGGTGTGATCGGGGGCTAAAATTTATATAGTTAATAAGTATGGAATATTTGATATAAAATCGAATAGCCGTTTAGCATCGGCAATGTCCGTGTCAACTGTGGGCATAAGATACCCCGCGCTAGCATTGTTGACTAAGATATCGAGGCTGAGAAGCTCGTCACGGCGTTCTTGATAGACTCGCTGGATAACACATCCGAACGTAGAGTTTCGATGCCGGCGGATGTAATCTGGCCTAGTTTAAAGGAGTTGCGGGCTGTGGCGTAGACCTTTAGACCGGCTGTATGGAAGGCGAGGGCGAGGGATGCTCCAAGGCCGCCATCAGAACAGTCTGTAATCAAGACAGTGCGAGCCATTTTGATTCGGTTGGGGCTCTATAAGCGTATATTTCAAAAATCTAAGGAATGGGTTAAGTGCTTATATATATACACGTATCTACAGTCTAATTGCGATTTATCTAATGACCATAATATCATTGGAAGGAGTAATGATACATCGCGACATTCTCCCGGCTCCGACTTAGGGCTGATCGACAGGGCCATTACCCACTTGATTACCCGTGCCAAGGCCGATCCTGAACTCAATCATGGGGTGTGTGATGAAGTATCTTTTTTATGGAATCCACAGTAAAGGGGTACATAGATGAAACACTAACCCCGGATTTGGTCTACACCCGGATATCTTGGTTACCCGGATTAACGTCATTGTTTACTTTTCCAAGGTTGTTAGCGGGGGAAGGACCCATGGATGGAACTTGGGAAGGTGCAGGTGGAGGGGCGGGATTTGTAATGATTGGTGAGTTGATATATAGGTTTCCAAATTTCACGGCCCTGGAGAGTTCATGTTCATTGGCGATACTACTATGGCAAAGATAGCCTGTCCCCTGTCACTAATCCAGACAGTGCGATGGTCCATGGATTCTTCCGCGTTGCACGTGAAGTCATGAGCCTTCACGGTACCGAAGCATTGGTCCAACTAAGAGCTGAGCAGCTCGGGAGGTTACAGAACCTGACATGGTGTGAGACCGAAGTCCTCGCCAACGGTCCGCCTGCAGTGGACGAAGGATATATCGAAGTTGAAGTGGTTGAAGTGATGGCAGTTGGCGTCAATTTCAAGGACGTTGCTACCAGTTCAACAACCGCTATGATGCCATGGGCGGAGTAGAGGCCAGCGATGGCAGCGACTCGGTTGACCAGGCAATTCGGGCATTCCGCTTAATGCATGAATCGGGCGCCGACGTGGCTGCCCTGGGTAAGGCTGGTCTCGAGGTGCTCTCGGGACAATTTATCAAGACTCTGCGACTGGAGACGGAGCCGGAGCCGGAGCTGGAGCTGGAGCCAGCACAGCCATTGATTGCGTGCGAGTTGGACTCGCTGTCGGCTGTCGAGCTTCGGAATTGGTTAGGATTAAGTTGGGGTTGGAGATGAAAACGCTGGATATTACGAATGCTAGATCTCCTATTGCCCTGGCTGATAAGGTGGTTTCGAATTTGTCAGTGCTTGAGAGCAAGTGATTGAGGGGGAAAGTTGCCCCAAGTAGCTTAGTGTTGAATTTGGACGAATATTCTGTTCAAAAATAAAAAGGAGAAAAAAAGCAAATATGTTTCAGCCTCTGCGCTTTGAAAAATCTTAACCTGATCTGTCGGAATCCCTCCCTCGGGCCCGGTCCTCGGACTTTTGTAATTAAGTCGACCTGTCACAGTCCTTTTTTATTTCTTCCTTTTCCTCCATTTTCTTTTCTTTTTTTTCGGTTCACTCCCCGCTGCGGCTACAGCGGCCAGGAACTGTTTTCAGCACGTTAAAAACCCGGTAGTTTCGATCGGGGAAGACGACCCGACTTCCGGCTGAAAGTACTATGCATACATCTGAAGGTCTGGCCAAAGTACATAACGGTCTATATCAACACACATGTGTAGACTTGACACGGTGATGTGCACGGTGCTTTCAGGGATTCTCTTGCCCTTGCTCTTTCTGATATGCCTATTACTAAAGGGCGAAATCTAGAACGAGACCTATCAAAATTGCATTGTTTACTTTGTTTACTTTGGCTAGACTACAAAGATCTGATGAAATGTAGAGATTTTCTCTGAAGATCGTCCTTATACCCTGTCACCCTAGTTTTCTACATGTCATAATATGACTGCCACCAGACCAGGTCCGTGTGCCCTGCGTTTAATCTTCCCATTTACACATCTAAACCCGATTGAATCCAGTCAGATGCGGCTCTGATGGGTTGGGAAGTTGGAAACGAGTTTGCTTACCTTCAAATCCATACGATGCACGCCTATAGGGCTGCTGTACATCCAGGCCGTAGGACCTTTTCCAAGTAGGAATTCTGGTCATGTTTCCCTAGAAAGGTTAGAAAATATCGGCAAAGGATACTTAAGCTTCATACTTGTGGAATTGTCAAGTCGGCGGTAGGCCAGCGTCTTCGATAGACTCTCAGGTATAGAATAACCAAGGTCAGAATGAAAAGGACAAGACCAAGGCCGGCAACAACAGTGTTTGTTGGAGTATAGCTCTGCCAAAGACCAATGAAGGAAGTCATCTTCTCACAAATAAGGTCTATGTGCAGTGGGATTTGGCAACGAAAAGCAAACTTATTTATATCTCGATGGATGGGGATATCCATTCTTCTTTAAATACCTTTTCAAATAATAATATATGGCAATTATCTTCAAGGGCTCGAAATACCCTTGTCTACTACCAACTTGGACATGCACCACAATATTATTCAAGCACCGTAAAAGCAGGAAGCCGGAGAATAAACGCCAGTCAACTCGTGGCCCCAGCGCTTGACCTCCTGGGGCTCAGATCCTCTCCTCCTATGTACTCCGTAGCGAGACTAGCACATCCGAAGTATATGCAGGAGCATGGGGGACGATTCAGGATCCCTGTTCCACCTGTAGATCTCAGGTTTATTTAATTCTTTTTTCTAATAAAATCCCATTTCATTCCATTTCACATCGCTTCCCATCAGATCTGATCACTTCGGATCATTTTGTTTCTGCTTTATTTTATATATTAATTCATTCAAGCCACCCCGAAAATTTTAGCAATTCCACTTTAGAGGATCAGATCCCTAACTTACTATTAGTATGGGCAATTCTCGATCTAGAGTATTGGAAAAGCAAACACAAGTCTATCAGGATATGCACACTTCTTCTCTACCTGGAGACACCCAAACACCCGGAGAGGACGATCCAGTGACAACGGTGCATAATGCAAGCCTCGAAGAAAAAAAAAAGAAAACATTGTAGAAATAAAAGCAAAAAAAAAAAAAGTACCAAATTGAGCTCAAGAACTGCACAATCTAGGCACCGACCCGCCAATCCCTTGAGCTGTTAGGTCTTCGACTTTTTGTCCTTTCGAGCTAATGCACCATTCCACCAATCGAAACATGCCGAGAATACCGATGGGAATTGTTACCCAGTGTCGTGGGCCATTGAATACCCGGGTATTTTGTGGATTTGTGGCTTTGCTGTCAGGGTCGACGTATTTGCTTTCCGCGATTGGTTCGGGTTCATTCTCGGGGAACGGGAGAGGTTCCTAAATATTCTGTTTGCTTTTTGTTCGGTACCTTGGCATCTAACTGAGGACATAGGAGTTTCCAAGCCTCGTACTTCTGTATCGAATATGATGTCAATTCTAAGTGCCGAATAGTTGGTGTTATTGATGTTTTATTCTCGGCGTACTTGATGCCTAATGGGGATTGAGCGCATATATGCGCTCAATCCCCATTAGGAAATGGTCTTGAAGAACATGCTCCAGATTCTTTTTACAAAAATAAAATATGCCCATGTGAATATCAAAATCCAGTTAACATGTTTCCCCGCTGGGATCCTGTGGATCCATTTGCTTTGACTCCGGAACGCCTGCCATACTTCCCCTGCCGTGGTAACCCATACCATGACGCGGCAGGTCATAGGTGAAGGTAAAAAAAGAAATTTCCACGAAATAGGAACGCTTGCACTTGGAAATTGAGCGGTAATGCACCCTCCTCGACATAAAAGACAAATCAGATCATGTTCATTACTGCGTTGGTGGACGAGGCCCGGAAGCCCCCGAGTCAGCATCCGATACTCGGGGACGTTTTGGATCGTTCGGGCCGGATGCCGGGGCCCCTGGGTGTGCACCAGGTGTAGCATCAGCATTGGTGACGTCCACCAACGGAGGGCGTTTCCCGTTGAGATTCTGCTGGGGCTGCATATTGCCTCGGTTCACCACTGCTGGGTTGGAAACGCTCCTTTGGTCTAGGTTAGGTCGGGTCAATGGTCGATATGATGAAACAGAAGGGCCTCTGCTGACCGGACTGTTGACTCCACCGCCAGGAGCACCGACTCTGCGTTGCATATCCGTTGCAGGATTGACAAAGTCGCGTGTGCTGTTATTGGGCGGTGCTGGAGAGACTGCAGAGACTGTAGGGGAGGCGCCCGACAGCATCGGTCTAGCAATCGGAATGCTTTTGGTATGATCTACACCAGCCGTCTTGCGGATGGAGGGACTCTCTGCGTGGGGATCGAATTGAGGTGCTCCTGGCGGGATAGAATTAGGGTTTTCGCGGAGGAGATCCACTGCTCTGGCGGAAAAGAAACCCGTCGACGGTGTGCCTTGCGGCGGATTCATATCCTGATTCCCCTGGAAACCCCCGGAGCCGGTGTCCCGCTTGATGGGAGGCTGAGCAATGTTGTTTTGTGGAGCATTTTGGCCAACTGGTTGCTGTGGTGGAACTGATGGTCTCGGGTTTGCAACGTTTTGAGCACCTTGAGCGCCCATTGGTCGACCTTGTACCGTAACTGGAGATGGGATAGCTGATGCGTTCTGTGGCGCATTTACGGGATTAGGCCGTCCCACTTGGCCCGAGCCATTCCATCGCTCTGGTTTTGATGGTGTTACGACCCCGGAGTTATATCCTGCTCGAACAGGCGGTCCTCGCTGAGGCGCTGAAACTGGCACATGGCGCTGCTGTTCTGTAAGAGTTTCTGTGTCTACTACGATCTCATCTGGATTGCCTGTATCGGTCTCTGCTACCCCGAAATCGGCTTCATCGAAGAGATCACCTAAAGACCATTAGCCAAGGCTCAAGTTTGTGTTTTCCTCTAACACATACTGCCAAACTCCCCATCCCCTTCGAAAGAAATATTCTCGAGATTATTGCCTCTAGCTTGATGTATAGGACGAGGAAGCGGTAGATCATCCTCTTCTGGTACACGTTTGGGCGGAGGCACTTGTTTCTTAGGTGGCGCGAAGTCAGGATGGCGATGAAGATCTTCAACGTCCCATTTTCCCTATCCGGATAGTCAGCATGGCACATGGTAGATTGGAGGAAATTCGGGACCATACAGGCGCTGCCTTGACTTTGGTCACTTTGGCCACATAATCCTTGTCATAGATACAATTACCCAACACGTTGCCGAAGTTCCTCAATGCACGTTTCAAAGCGTCTGTTGTGCCTTCTTTTTTGGCCTTCTCAAATGCTGCGGCCTTGCCCTTGCAGTTCTCAATATGCCCGTAGCCAATATCCTAGAAGAGGTCTGGAGTTAACACAACAACCCACCAGAAATTCATATCTTGAAGAGACTCCTTTACCTCATGAAAGGTTCCATCCCTAAGGGTAACTCTCATAATGACTGAAAGTCCCAGGCTAATCTTGCCTGTGTTTTGATTCTCCTCGACCTGGTAATCGTTAGTCAATCCCCATGTAGCCGATAAACACATGACCAACGCACAAAATCAATCTGAATCGTCTGGATTGAGCTGGACCAGCCATTGAATCCAAACACCTCATTCGCAAGGTTGATACATTTATCCGCGGAGAGATAGTGGACTTTCTGTCCCGCAGCACCAGGTCGCGCAGAGATGTATTCGGGTCCCAATTTCTTATCGAGACGCGCTTGTAGTGTTGCAATTTCTTGTGCTGTGTATTCGCTAATTCGGCGTTGGGGTTCCTCGAAGGGGTTTGCTGTGGTGGCTCCTGTAGCGTTCGGCATCATAATAGATCCCGCACCACCGCGATGTTGGTCGCCAACGCTGAATTTACCACTATCAGTGCTCGATTCCATGGGATACGATTATTTCCAGGCTCTGGGGTTTGTGTCTCACGCTGGCATATTCTATTGCAAATGTGTGTGGTGTTCGATATTAGATGTAATGACGGCGTGTCGAACGCGTTGCCTTTAGGCACCAAGACGCGGCTCATCACGACATCACATGATGGTATCGCGATAAGATAAGATTACAGCTTTGTGAACCAAAAGTAAACAAAACACATTATTTGAGGATATTAAAGATACATAGTAGGCAAAAAGATTAATGGAAATTTGATTCACCTCTGGAGACTATTAAAGTTGCATCTCATTTCTCATTCTTTATGAAAGCTATCTATCCTTTGGGAGGAAAGGGTATGGCAACAATCATTGGATGACGAGACTGGCACTAGGCACAAGTCCTAGTTCCTTCAAAGTTTCCCCAAAGAACTCATTATCAAACACCTTCTTGGGGAAAGTCTGCACAAAGCTCTGGACCTCTACCCCATCCTGTTCCCTCAATGCAGCGGCAACCTCGAACAACGTGGTGTCAACGGGTAGTGTCTTCATGATGTTACCCTTGGATGATTGGAACCGCAGCCGAGTTTCCGTATAGGCCGAGGCGGGTTTAGATGTAGCGGGACCGGAGGAAGTGGGTGCCGGGGCGGCAGCGGGCCGTGAAGGAGGAGCCTCACCGGCACGCTCAGCGCGTTGCTTCTCTGCCTTCAGCCGACGCTCCTCCTTGTCGGCCTCGATCTTTGCCTTGATGCGTTTCTTGGCCTCGATTTCGTCCTGCTTCTCCTTCTTCTTCTTGGCTGCCTCCTTCAACTGTTGTTTCCGTTCCAACTCCTCCTTGGCATCTTGGCTTTCCTTGGTGCTCTTTCTTCGGATTTCCTGATAAAAAGGAGTTAACAAAATACTCCCAGTCTCTAATTGTGGGGACCAAGATAAGGCAAACGTACCTCATTCTTCTTCTTGTCAATCTTGTCCTGTTCCGAGAGCACTGCGCGCTTCGCCGCAAGCTTCTCCCGAAGCTCCGCCAGTCTCTGCTTCTTCTGCTCCTCAGTCAACGGAGCAATCTCCTCCGTAGACTCAGCAAAATCAACATGTCCCGACTTTGATGCGTGGAACTCAGCCTGTGACTGGCCTCGGAACTTCTTGCCACACTCGTTGCATACCAAGCTGCGTGGTTGTTCGCCGGGTTGGAGTGCGGGGCTCTCTTCGTCTTGTGCCGATTGTGCTTGGGTCTGTATCTCCTCCAATGACTTGTCTTGGTTGTCTTCGAGCCACTGCAGTGCACCTTGCACTATTAAGCCAGTTAGAGAATAGCTGTGGATATCAGGGAAAAAGCAGAAACTTACAGCCACCAGTCTTCGTCACTGCGAGCTGGGCGCGCTCTTTGTCAAAGCCCATTTCAATGAGCTGGTCCAGGTCCGATGCCATGATTGCTGGAATATAAAAAAAATATGATATGATGCGCTTGGAAAATAAGAGCAATTTGTCAAGATTGAATCAGATATGTGATCCAGAAGAGAGTGAGAATAGAGTGGGTGACGTATCAGAAAGGCGGCGAGTAATAAGGCCCACTTGCCTTCCCCGGTTTCTATGGCATCAAGTTTCTCGATATCACGTCTAAGGGATACTTCAATGTTGCATGCTTTTAAAAAGTGGCGACTTCAATTGCACCTCTCTATGTTGTACGTGACTAGTACTACCCAAGCACACGCCTTCCACTTAAATATTTGGGTAGCTGGGTAGCTGTGTGCTGACCTGAATAGGTTTATGCTCCAGGACTCTTTGGGGCTGAATAAGCACGTAATTTGATCTAGGTAGGAACCCCCAGGACCTAGTAGTGTTCTGTAATTAGAGGACTTGTTAAGTACCATGCACAATGCAACACTGGGATATATATATGGAGAGGGACTAGCACTGTATGGTTGACTGCAATCTTTGCTAAGGACGTGGGTCATACGAGACACTCAGATTGTAAGTATGCCAGTTTTTACGAGTTCAACGACATCATTGGCAAGTTGGATGGCATCCATTGACGTGCAATAATCATTGAGTTTAGGGTAAATTGATTGTAGCGGAGGGATATAGACGCATGTCTTCATGACACAGCTCCAGCTCTATCGATTTCGAATCATGAAAATTAAGCATTTGCTAGCTTATTCTCAATAGAATGACCAGGATCCGCTATATGAGCTATCAATAGAACATGAAATACTTACAATTGAAACATAAGTGGGAATCGACCCCACCGCAAGCATCACATGCAGGTAGATGGGACTGTTCACCTAAGAATGTGGGGATGCGACACCTGGGAAAGAATAGAGAGAAGAAAAGACCTCATACATACGGAGTACTACATCTAAGATCCCAATACAGTAAAATGAAGCCAAATTCGAATGTATAGAATTGTCAATAGTGACATCACCTGACTGTTTGCTGACTCAGCAGCTTTCCCCGAAGTGTCCATGTGGACAGTAATCAAACTCCTGAGGCATCACATTAAACCTGATAACCCTCCCACACCTTTATTTCCCAATCGGAACCTGATCGTCTACAGTCATCTGTGCTCTTGTCATCTTTGTTCCCTACTCCCACCTCTTTCATTCTGACCACGTGCACTATGACTATCCAAATCGAGCCCTCCGAGTTGGGCTTCAAGCGTGAGTGAACCCGAACCTGTCTCAGACCTGCCTAGACCAACCACTCATCTCTTGATAATAGGTCCCTTCAATCATGAAGTATGCCAGGTTCTCCGCCTGAGCAACCCGAACGAGGAACCTGTGGTCTTCAAGGTACGTGTGACATCCCCCTCGGCCTTTGTCGCGGGATACCAGCAGTACTAACATATGTCCTCGGCGCACTAGGTCAAAACCACCGCTCCTAAGCAGTATGTTCTGACGATTCTTTGCGCAATGCCTATACCCGAGATTTGTTATCTAATTATATTCCAGCTACTGTGTGCGACCTAATTCCGGCCACATCGAGGCGGGCAAGACTGTCGAAGTCCAAGGTTAGTTGACAAGCGGGTACACCTGAACTACCCTGGTTTAACTGTACTCGATAGTGTTGCTTCAGGCTATGAAGGAGGACCCCGCTCCGGATGCCAAGTGCAAGGATAAGTTCCTAGTTCAGGCCGTCCCAGTCTCCCGTGGCTTGGAGGATGCCAGCGTTGGCCAGATTGTATGTCCAGAATGCGGGATTTTGAATGTCAAGATCAATAACTAATATCTATATTTAGTTCGATCAAACTCCCAAGGCCGATGTGGTTGAGCGCAAGATCCGAGTTGTCTACCTAGCATCAGATGCCGCTCCAGCGAACGACTCGGTATCACACTCAGCAATCATATCTCTATACACTCAGTCTAACTTTTACCAGGTGCATGATGAGGAACCTCCGGCGTACACTTCTCCTGGCGGCGCAAACTTCCAGACCCCGGCTCCCAAAAAGATCGACTCCGATGAACCGTCCCCAATTCCTGCTCCCGATTTCTCCGAGAAGAAGTCCCAGTCTCCCCAGCGCGAGCCCGCATCTGCCATGTCAAATGCCCGATCCGCTGTTGCCAATGCTCTTCCCTCAAGCGACGAACTCAAATCCCAGCTGTCCGAAGCCAACGCACAGATCCAGCGACTAAAGGACCGACTTGCAGACCAAGGACTGCGGCAGCGGAAGACCGGCGGAGAGGTTACCGGCAAGGCTGTGCCAGCCGCCATGCAGCAGTCACATGGGCCAACGGCTGGCGGAGTTTCGATCCAAGGTGTAGCATGCCTCTGCCTGCTCAGCTTCTTGATCGCGTACTTCTTCTTCTAATCTGGTCTTCTGTTTGTCGCTTTCTCACGGTCTATCTGGCATAATTGCACCTCCTCTCCCGCGTGCTCAATGCTTCCGGTCTAACGTCGCTGACGCCTCTCCAAATTCCCATCTATTGTTTTTCTCTTGAAGAGCATGCTGTTTCCTATCTGTTCTTGCATCAGCCTTTTTTATGCGCCTGCTTTGAGATGTTTCCCCCAGTATCAATACTCTACTTTCATGTTGTCGCTCTGAACTTCCGAACTCCCTCTGAGGTCAGACATCTGTCTGTCTGATCATTTTCTTTGTTGTGATTTGCTTTTGTTCTTTTTTACCCTTTCTCTTGTCCAATATCATTTATGATAAACGGACTCAGCCTCTCGATACGTTTCTCTTTGTTTCATAACCCTTTCTGGAGCTCGGGATAATTCATGTGATTGCTACTAGAGCTACTTCCATGCTTCCGTGTCGTAGTTAGGGACTTCATCTCCTGCAGTATGGTTCATTGCGGCGATTCGGCCCTATCTTTGCACCTTGGATGATTCTACCGACACAGGCACTGGAAATGATAGCCGATTTCTATTGTAAACAAAACATATCTAACAAATACAAGCACAAATACAAGTTCCTAACTCCCAATGATGTCTGTAATTGAACAACTGGAGCTCAACACCAGACGTTATACAAGGCAGAGCAAAATCTAACATTGAATCTCACTCTCCTTCCACCCATCACCCTCTTCACCCGCCGGACCCGCCGACGCAGCCTCACCAGCACGGCCATTCCACTGCTTCCCACCTCCAACAATCTTTCCACCCTGTGCGCGCTTCACACGACACCACGGACCAACATTCTTATCCAAGATAAAAGTCCAAATAACCCAAACCCAGCTCCGGTGGCAAGGTAGCGGCTCATAGAACTCGCTCGCAATCTCATGCAGCTTATACAACTTGGTCCAGGGGATAGCAGGGAAATCGTGGTGCTCGTTATGCAATCCGACATTGTAAGTGAGGATATTGAGCGGGCCATAGTACGAGTATGTCTCCGGTGGAGGCAGGGAGTCAAGGGGGTGCGGGGCCTTGGACTTCTCGTTGTTCTTTAGCTCGGTCAAGGACTCAGTGCCGCCGCCCTCCACATTCGAGAAGAAGTAGTGCTCCGCGATGAAATGGCCCGCACAGGGGTGCAGGGAACCGGCGAGGAATGAGCTCATTATGAAATATAGCACTGGCTGGAGGCTGCCGCCGCATAATTTGGTAAGACCGTAGTCGAAGCCTACTTGGATGACTATATTCAGGAGGTGGATGTGGGTGAAGGGAGGGCTGTAGATGAACATTGGGCGCAGGGCGTAGAAGAGGATTTGGAAGGTGCAGAAGAAAGTCTTGCCTAGGACGGAGTCTAGGAGGAAGGCTTCCACTGCTGTGGGGAGATCGGTGTCTAGGCCTGTTACGCCGAGGGATTTGTGGTGCGTCAGGTGGTAGGGCTAGTGGACGTATTGTGTCAGTTCAGGACTACTTTGGGGGCAGGACTCAGTTCTGGTATATGGAAGAGTATACATACTCTGAAGGCTGCACTGTACGGCACTCCGATAGGGATGTTGGCGAAGATGGCGAGCAATCGGTTGGCAAAGGCGGACCGGAATGCCAGATTGTGAGATATCTCATGGATGGCGAGGAACAGGTTCTGATTGCAAGTCGCTCCGATCACGTATGCTGTGGCCAGGAACCGCCAATCGAGCATTGAAGTATTGCGGAGGAGGTAGGCACAGGTGAGTTGTAAGGACACGACGCCGAGGACAACCCATTTGGTGAGAGGCTCTGGGCCACATAGTTTGGTGACCTATAGATACAAATATCACGAATTAGCATTGCAATTGCATTTGTTGAGGCCGTCCGTTGCCGAGGAAAGTGGCCAGGTGTATACAGGAACTCCGCAAAAGCTCCGCATGAAGTCTTGCCGAACCACCATGACACCATGGGGGCCCGTAATATAGAGTCACATACCTCCGGATGGGCCTTAATAATTGCCTGGCGTCTTGAGCGATGCGGCTCTTCAGTGTATGTCCAGAAAAAATGATCGTCGACCAAAGCCTCTGGTGCCTGGATTCTGGTTGATTCTGGTTGTGCTTTGCCAGATATCTTGGCTGCCGACACTCGAAGGTGCGGCGAAGTTGTTTCAACCGCAGACATGATAAAAAATTGGATATGTGTCGAAGTTTTAAGCCATGAGAGATAGGAGCCGATTTAAAAAGTCGGGAGTCGTTCCACGTGGGGCGACACGGCATACTTGATGGTTTGAGGCTTGGCAGGATCGGCGTTTTGATAGAGGCCCAGGTCTCATATTAAAGACATTACTAAGGATCTTTGCATCATGCTTTTAGTTTTTACATATATCTATATGAGATACATCAATAGTCGTCGCCACGGCTAATAACCTCCTTCACGTTCGGCCGCAACACGATTGTCTAAAATAAGTCAGTAAATGGTCCAGAAAATCCAAAAATAGAAACATACATGTTCATATTGGGCAGTGTATGAACCCTTGATATCGCAGAGAGGAGGATAGTCCTGGACAATTCCAGAAGAAACCAAGTTGTTCAACTATATTCGTCAGCTTCGGTGCCTCGTGCAGGAACTTCATGTTAACTTACGCCCAAAAGGTACTTGTCCTGACCCAGACGGTCAAGGTAACGGCGACAGAAAGGAAGGGTGCCAAAGTTCTTGTTGATCACATTCAACAGGTTCTTGGCAGACGAAAGACGCAGGGGAACGTTAGGAGCGTCAGAGGCGAGAGCGTAGTGCGAGGTTTCCATCTGGTGGCATGTTAGTTTGGTTCTTGGCCCATTGACTACAGTATAAACTTACTTCCTCTCGCACGTAACCTTTACCGGTACTACCGAAGGTCTCAATGGCGAAAACTTCACCTTCTTCCATCTTGGTCTGGTCAGTACCCTTGACGATAGGCACACTTTTGCCACCGTGAATAACATGCTGGTCAATGTTGTGACCGTTCAAGTTGCGGATACACTTGACGGGGTGCATAGTACCATTGAGCTCGACTTCGTAACTCTCCATAGCTTCTTGAATGGCCGCACCAATATCACTCATACGGACGTCAATTCCCGCTTCCTGAAAACCTGTCAGCTGTGTTTGGAACGAAGAAGAATAGGCGCTCTTACCCGGATACCGGTGTTGGTAGCGTCCTTAACAGCAGCGAGAAGAGGATCGTACACTGGGTCAAAAGACATGGTGAAAGCACTGTCCACGATGCGGCCGTTGAGGTGTGCACCGAAATCGACCTTCATCACGTCTCCTTGGTTTAGAATCATCTTGTTACCCGCGTTCGGGGTATAATGCGCAGCACAGTGATTGATGCTCAGACCACAAGGGAAGCCCATGCCACCCTTAAGGTTATCACCCTCCTCCAGACCTGAGTGGCCAGTCAGAGCGCGCACTGAATCTTCAATGCCCTCCGCGATCTCGGTTAAAGTCTGGCCGGGCTTGATGTTCTTCTGCGCATACTGGCGGACTTGACGGTGAACCTCAGCACCCTGGCGATATTCCTCCAGGAAGTCATTGTTCATGCGATCGAGGTATCGTTTCTCTTCGTTGGTGGTACGGTAGGCATTGTCGTTTAGGTATTCGACGATCTCACCCTCGGGGTATTTACCGTTGGGGAAGAGGTTAGAGACAGGGACACGCGGTGGCTCGCTCTGAACCTTGGCACCACCCTTCTTCTTGCTCTTCTTCTTGGGCTTCTTCTTCTTCTTCTTTTTGTCGGCTATAGAATTGACCCCACTGTTAGTTTAACCCAGTCGGCTTCTGTGGGGGTGGGGTGGGGTGGTGTTCTGCCGGTCACGGAAAGAAACCTCGATAAGAAATCTTACCTCCAGCAGCTCCAGCCTCTACGGCACCCTCGCCGTCTGGAGCGTCGTCCGAGTCCTCTTCCGCTTCAGCGGGAACCTGGTCTGCCGTGGGTGCGGCCTGGACGTTCACTAGTATTTGATCAGTCACATATAACACACACAAGATATTTATGAATCTCACGGTCCAACTGTTCCAGCTTGTCTGTAGTCTGAGCTGCCATTTTGAAGGTGGCAATTAACAAGTTGTATGTTCAAATGCAAAAGAGGGGAATGTCGGATCTCGGGGAAAGATTTTTGCTGATAAGATAAGACAATTTTTTTGGAGATTTTCTTGGCGCTTGGCGGAAATGTTGTTTCCAGCTCGGGAATACTCAAAGAGGCACCGGAGCTTGAGTATTCCCGTGATAGACTACGACAAGTTGCCCTCATGATGACAACCTTCAAGTCACTTTGTAGACTTCAACTCAGGTCAGACATCTGTGTCTACTATTAAGCCATGTCGCTTCTTCAACTCCCCGCTGAACTGCTACTAGAGGTATGTTCGTATCTAGAATTTGTCTACGATCTTGGTTCCCTCTACCAATGCCATCCTCTTCTATATACTTTGTTGAAAGACAGAGTCCACCAACTACTCAAGACGGAGTCCGCCCAACCTCTGGCATGGGCTGCGGCGAACGGGAAGGAAATATGTGTTCGCAAGCTGCTAGATGCAGACGCGTTGATTTATGATGATCATAGTTTCACCGACTCCTCCATGGACCCTATGATGATGGCTGCAAAGAATGGCCATTTTGATATTGTCCGAATGCTCCTCGACCACGGAATGGACCCACTTCTAGAGATCTGTGAACACTTTTTCCTCTGCTGCTATGATCTTGATCACTTTATTTCCCTCGGAAAATCATTGTCCGCCTCAGTGATGGAGGGTCACACCTCAGTTGTCGGTCTCTTGATTGAACGTGGATGTACCAGAAGCACTAAACGCTATATGGACAAGAAAAGTCAGGTGTGCGACTTATTATTATGCTTAGCAGTCATGAAGAGGCATATTCCGATCATCAAACTTCTGCTTGCAGAAGGTTGTAATCCCAATATGTATCTTGAGGCCCCTTTGCATTATGTTGCCGCGGCTCCTGCTACAAACACAACTATGGAAATTGTCCGTCTTTTAGTTGATGCTGGGGCTGACATCATGTCAGAAATGTCAGACCAATCTCCATTCTCACTTGCCTTGGAAACCGGCAATGAGGCGTTCATCAACTATGCATTCGAACAAGGGATTACTCTTGATACCGAAGTCATCCTCGACATGGTTGTCCGGATTGCCGAGCATCAAAAGAGAATGGCGGCTTTCCTCCTGGAGAAGATTGATTTGGACAGCACAATCCATTTTAGTGAATCTGTACGATATAAGCTTCTCTGTGCCGCTGCAACTGGTGGTTTTGAGGAGCTGATGAAGAGACTATTAGTTACTGCGCCTGCCCTCGGACGGCGGGCTTTTGAGCATAACCATGATTATATTATGGGTCTTGCTGTTGCATCTGGCAATATCGGAATGATCGAGTTGTTGCTTCAACAGGACGCATCTCTTGATTGCGCCGTCTCTTATCCATCGGTTCTTGAGAGAGGAATGGATGGAGAAATGGATGGAGAATGGGATCCCGATGCCTGCCTCCCTCCAATGGTTCTCGCTCTTGACCGAAGCCACGACGATGTCGTAAAGTACCTTATTAACAAAGGCTTTGCTGTTAAGCTTGAGTCAGAGTATAGAAATCGTTTCCTTTTCAACAGAGCACTCTATCTGGGCAAAGTGGAAATCCTCCAAATGCTTTTTGAGACTTCCAATCCCCCAATCGAAGATATTGCCTTAGCGAACGATGGGCTAGCAATTCTACTCGCAGTCTTAGGAGGAGAGGCGGTCTTCAAGTTACTCCTAGATCATGGAGTACAACTGCGACCGGATTGTGTTGGACACTGCCGCGCGCTGGCCTGTGCTGCTATGTTAGCTAATGTGCCTATCTTGAGGATATTTTTGGATGCGGGCTTTAGTCTAGATGTGCAGGGCTCAGATCATGGTACACTCGGCATGTCATTGAAATATGACCAAAACCGAGGCAGTACACTCCTCGCTCTCGCGGCTCAGGCGAAAGATCGAAATGCCGCGGAAACTGCAATTGATCTTTTGCTAGAACGTGGGGCACAGCTCAACCAGCCAATTGGCTCCTCCAATCACACGCCTTTGCTCTGCACGGTTTCGGGGATAGCTAGTCAGAACATTAGCGATATTGAATATTTTGTCGACTTCACCAAGCGTACAGAAGAGGATATAAGTGGGGATCCATTTAGGCACCATCTCGAACACAACTACGAAGTGCCGGCAGCAAAGCTTCTATTGGATAAAGGGGCCGATCCTCTCTTTCGGAACAAAAGTGGAATATCCGCCTTAAACCTGGCTGCAAAGAGAAATGATATCAAATTGGTCAAGATGTTGCTAGAATACGTTGGTCAAACCGTTCCGATCAGTACAATCAAGTCTCATGTATTATTGGCAGTGACGGCCACGTCCAAGTCAATGGACGATTCTTGCTGCCTTACTTGCAGAAATTGGGACAAGAAACAACCTTCTTTGACCATCCAAAGGATTCTCTGGGATTATTATTGGCGCAAGGTTTACCATTATCCTAGCGAATAGTCAGATTGAGTTCCTAGGTAGGTATATAGCTTATTATTTGATATTCGTCTACAAGAGTCTTGAACAGTAGAGAAGTACTCTCTAATACTAGCAAATAAATATGCTGAATAAGTCATGGCTTAAGTAAATCTGTAGTTTGAATTGAATTCTAGAGTAACATACTATATACAATTTCCATATCACATGTATAACTATAGGTCCTGATTAACAGGTCTCCTTTTGCACTTTAGCCATACGAGAATTCATTAAATCACAGTGTTCGGACGTCCCAACCCACTTTTCTGGATCGTATGTCGCTCCATGATGAAGTAGCAGTCTCACGATTTTATCATCCTTGACTCTTTCGAGAGCAAATTGTATCGGTCGACACTTGCCTTTGCCATTAGGGTCAGCGTGATGCTTGAGTAAGAGCTCAACAGACTTATATTGGTTATGGCAGACAGCCAAACTCAAATGACAAAAACGGTGCGTCCGGATGTTTGGATGAAGGTCTTCATCGAGGACAGTCGACTCAATCAGCAACTTTTCCAATAGCTCTTCGAACCCATTGACAATCGCTCCCCTCAAGAGATAACAACGTTGAAGGCTACCAATTTCCATGATGCTGTCGACATTCATCCAGCTCAGCAGCAATGACCCCACCTCGTGGTCTTTCCGCCTCAGTTGAGAGAATTCAGACAAGATATCAAACCATTCCAGTCGCCTCCAATTGAAGTTGTTCGCTAGAAGGAACTTCATGACGGGCATGTTGTCTGATCGCGCGGCTTTGAGTAACAGTTCGGGATCTCTATACAGACCTGGGCTAGCCTCTAGCAAGAGTCGTGCAATGTCTAGATTTGCGGACGATGGTGGCCCAGAAGCAGCAAGGGCTAGAGGCGTCATATCATCCAGGTCACTGGTGTTGAGGTCACAGTAATTGTGCTCAAGGAAAATCTCAACCATTGAAACCTTCCCCATTTCGACAGCAGTGCATAAAGGAGCTACGGCATTTTTGCTCATGGCGTTTAGGTTGAAATCGGCCTTGTCTTCGAGGAGCAGCTTGACTACTGCAATATGGTCTTTCCTGATTGCAGCATCAAGCGTTTTTCTGACTAGATCTTCCTTCTTTTCGGTATCCTGCTGAATACAGTGGGGAAGAAATAGTTGGACAAGACGGGTATGTCCATTCGACGCGGCGATGACTATTGGTTCTCGGTCTTCAGAGAAGAATTCATCTAGTATCTTTAAGCCGCACATCTGCAACAGCTTTTGGGCGCTAGCTTGGTTCCCTGTGTTGGCTGCCCATGCTATCGCTTTTCCGGGTGAATCCTTAGCGAGTGAGCTGTAAAGATTCTTGTTTGACAAAGCATAGAAGTGGCGATTGACCCGCACAAACGCGCTGAGATCACGATAGTCGAGATAGAGGGAAATTTTCAACAGGGTCTCATTGGCCATTTCTAGAAGAGTCATCATGTTCGGCGTTGTTCGATTGTTGAGAAGGGGATGTCTATTTCAAGGGGAGAAGAAGCTGTTTGGCTCAGGTAGTAGGCAATTATCCAGACCTCAATTTATTCGACGGGGTACGAGAGGACTTATAAGTCTCTCCTAGGATCTGTGTCGTATAGTGTCTTGTGTTGAATGGAGCCAGTGTTTCAAGCCAACGCGTGATTGTGTGTAGCTATTTGGTCTTGAGGTCAAATTTTACCTTCCAAGGGTATATCAATGGTTCTATACTTCTATATGCGAAAGAAGTCGGGGTGTTTGAAGGCGTGGATAGCCGCTATGGTATTTCGTTGTCTATTTGTATGTAGAGAATAGCGATAAATACAAAGACATGTTTACTGGTACAAAGGCTCCAATGATTATTTAATGTAGTAGACGAGCTTCAAATTCAACGTGAGCTCTCTACTTCTTAGAATAGCGCCAAGCAGGTGAAAAAGTATATGTATCACCCCGAGTATGATTATCTTAACCCATTCCTTTCGGCGAATCCGAATTTTCAAGAATAATTAATCGCACAACCGTGAGAACGTGATTCCATCGATAGAAGTCTTAATTCAAGGTCTATTTTCCGACTGAGACTCTTGACATGTTAGAGTAGGAGTCTCTCGCCCAGCGGCGTAAGCGCCGTTGGAAATTCGAAGCGAATATGAGACAGCAGGATAAGCAAAATGCGGAGACGCTAATTATTGTTTTGAACAGGAGGCCCTGGCACCTGTGTAATACGATTGTCTTGCACCGTCGCTATCCACCATACATTTGTCGGTTTCAAAGCGCTTGAAGTATACTTACCATATCCCTTGACCTTGAGACCCTCATCATCTGGACCATAGCACCAACAAACCAATCTCCAAAACCCCGTGATATGAAATTTACTTTCACATACCTTATTCCTGATGCACAGAGCATCGTAGGGTTTTGGACAGAAATTAGACCCGAAGATCTCATCAAAAAGAAACCTCGATTTAGCCGGTACTTGGCATCCATCAAATGTCTCAAAGATCGCATATTAGTAAAACACAGGAATGGTAGTCGTCTCCGTGCTGAGGGACCCAGTCCCGTAACCAACCCAGAAACCCCAAGAGCAGCACACAGGGTATATCACCGAGTGGGAGCTCATGAAGAGCACAAGCAACCTCCTGAAACGAAAGAAACAAGAATCTAGCAACATGTGGATCCTCAGGTATCTTAGGCTAGCCAAGGAGTGTTTTCATTGGATCAAGGAGTTGATGCCCGAAATGGCATCAGGGCTTCGATCTCTTATCTAATCTGATCATCAGCCCGCGGGCTGGAGCTCATTGTAGCTGCCCAGCTGGCTGTAAATTATATTTGAATGTGTTATTTTGAGAGATAAGAGAAAGCAGAAAATATCGGTGCTATACTGTATAACCCGTCAGGAATGAGTGTAGTAAAATGATAGAGTCGATCAACTTCGAACCGCAGTGACGCCACTCCGATCTTCATATCCGACCTCCCTTCTCCCGCTTCTTTCTCTAACACTTCTCCCCTCTACCCCGGGCCCTTATTCTCCTTTTAATTTCAATGCCACGCCATCCAGATACACAACAATGCCTCCACCTCAAGTAACAGCAATCCTCTGTCCGCGCGTGACCCTCTCTTCCTCCCCTTCAACCTACCGAAGCATCTCAACCCAACCGCTCCGACCACAATTACACCAACATCAACGACCCAAACAGCTTTCAAGGCTACCTATATCCTTCTTCTCAACCAGCAATCCAGCTCGAGCCCGGGCCCGCGAGCCAAACTTCTACGAAATCCTCAATGTCCCCACGACCGCATCAGCAGCGGAGATCAAAAAGTACGCCCACATTTAACACCCTTCCCCCATCTCTCGCTCTCAATCCCGCATTTATCTAATACTTCCGAATCTCCTAGACAATTCTACGCCCTCTCCATGCGCCACCACCCAGACCGCAATCGCACAGACCCAGACGCAAGTCAACGCTTCGCCCGCATTTCCGCCGCCTACAACGTCCTCGGCAACGTCTCAAAACGCGCAGTCTACGACCGTGACCACGGCTTCCATACTCCACAACATGCCTCCCACGGCCAAACCCACACCCACCAGCACCCGATGGGCAGCCACAGCAGCTACGCCGGCTCGCGGCCCGCCAGCGGATTGAGCAAGCGGCGTACTCCATTCCGCGGTGCGCCGCCGAGTTTCTACGAGCAGGGTGGGTATGGTAATACGGGGAGACAGGCGCAGGGATGGGCAGCTGGTAGTGCTGGGGCGGGGTTTGGGGCTGGCGCTGGCGCTGGCGCGAAAAATGCTGACCCGGAGGATTGGGAGGGTTTTATTCGTCGGAATCCGCTGAATCATTTTAATGCGCAGGGTCATTTCCGGACGCAGTCGGCTGAGGATAAGAGGAGGAAGGAGAGGAGACAGGGGGCTAGGAGGATTGATGAGGATAGGGATGATCCCAGGATTGATCAGACGGTTTCAAGGTTCTTTCTTTGTTCGGGGTGTTTGATTGTTATGATTGTTGTGGTGGATCTCTGGCGGTCGGTCCCCAAGGACGGAGAGAAGAAAAAGAAGCAGAGGACTTTGTCGTCTTGATGGTGATTTTTTTTTTTTTTTGCATTCCTGGAATATAGAGCCCTGGGTACCTGTAGTCTCTTGTATATACATACATAGTACTCCGTATACATAGTTCAAGTTCAAGTACATCACAGGTTGATGTACTTACTCCTACTCTTACAAGGCCACCAGGACCCCGCAATGATTTAGATCGTATGAATCAATCGGATAGATCAACAAAGGAAACAGTTGGATTTGATATACAAAAGGGTGATCGAACAGAAAGATCTAACACACATGGTTATTATCTGGAAGCAACCCCCGCTACCATAATCATCGTTCAGGCGAATCAGCAAGACGAGTGAACTAGTAACTGAAGTTTACACGAATTTTCCCAAAAGATGGTAGGTCATCTGTCAGGTTCCTGGAAGTCTAGAGATCCAGACGCTTAAGCCTCGAAGGTGAAGCTGGCGCCGACCTTGTGGGCAGCCTGGTTCAGGTTCTGGGTATCGAAAGAGGCACCGAGGCCGAGGGTGACACCAGGGCGGAGCAGGACGTTGTAAGCCAGAGCGGCGATACCACGGTCGTTGATCTTAGCCTATATTGCGAGAAAATTGCGCGATTAGTCGTGATTCACAATAGCCATATAAGGACTTCAAACTGGTAAAACGAACCTTGGCGAAGGAAGAGGGGTCCAGGCGGTACTTGCTGGCGACCTCGAGGCCGACGGCGTTACCGGAGGTGGAGTCCCAAGAAGCCTTGGCACCGGCCTCAACCTGAGCGTTGACGCGGTGGTAGTAGCTGGCGGAGAAGAGGGACAGGTTGTTGCTGGCGGTGATGGCAGCGGAGTACTGGGCGACGCTGTAGCCGACGGCAGCGGAGTACTTGGTGATGGCGGCCTTGTTGACGTCGTAGCCACCCTCAGCACCGACGAGGAAGCCCTCGTGGCCGAGAACAGCGTCGAAGTTGGCGGTGGGGCCGTTCAGGAGATCGAAGAACGCACGGGCGTTCAGGTTGGGCTGCTTGAAGTACAGGTTGAGCTTGGCGCCCTTGGACTGCTTAGCGGGCTGGTACTGGGTCAGGATCTCAGCCTTAAGGCCCTTGGCGATGTTGTTGTCGAGCTCGAGCTTGGTGTCAAGAGCGTTGGCGGTGGTCCAAGCCTGGGTGAGGGTGAGGCCTGATCGGGGTGAGCATATTAGCGTAATCCTGTGCAGTATAGCATCCGAAGATATGTAAAGTTTCACCCGGCGCGCTATTGGAATATTGCATCCGAACATCAATCGCATAAGACGGCCTTTGTGCGCGCCGGGATCTGGAGGTTCATTGTGGAAGGGGCTTTTACCAGTGGGCGCATCAACGTATTTGGCCTCGAGCTATAGGCGAACGAGTTAGCAATTTGCGTAAAGAAGTTGTAAATGATATCCAACGAACCTGACCAGCAATAGGGCCCTCGTGAGCGGACTTTCCCTTGACGGTGAAGGTGACACCGTTGGGGGCCTTGGACTTAACCTCAAGGTTGGCTAAAACGTTTTTGATCAGTTATTTAAGCTTCAATGAGTGGTGCAATGAGATGGGTAAACAAACCGGCAGCGGAGTGGTAGAAATCCTTGTTCAGGAGCTATTTGAATGTATTAGCCAAGGTTCTGAATTTTGTCCTCAACAGTTTTGCGTACATCGTTGGTCGCCTTAGCGATATCGGAGAAAGCAGCGGGGGCAGACATATTGACGAGAGTAGTCTAATTGAAGATGGAGAGGGAAAGAGGTTCTATGAAGAGATGAAGGAGGGAAAAGAAGAGTTGTGATGATGTTGGGGGAACCTAGGGGCTTAGCACGGGTTAGTGGGAGGGCGGTGATTGGCGGCTGGCCGGCTGCCGGGAAAGCCCGCCGGTAATGTTTGGGCAAGATCACGTGGTCTAGGAACGAAAAATAAATATTGAGATCATAACATTATACCGACAATATACCAAAAAAAGGGTATATACAATCTAATCCGGTACTATATCCCCCAAAGAAAATGCTAAATCAGAAAAGTTCAGATCCTTTTTGTCTATTCTTGCGGACTTTTTTACTCCGACTTCTCATACTTCTGGTTGTGGATGGCGATGGCTCTGTGAAGGATGGTTAGAGAAAATCAGAAAAGGAATAAAAAAGAAGAATAGCTTACCTTCCACTGGGGTCGGTCTGCTTGGACCAGGTAGGGGTCCAGCGCTCGACAGTGCCGGCACAGTAGGGAGGGAAGTGCTCATCGAACATGGTGCGGTACCAGTATCTATACCCGAAGTTAGTCTTCAACAATACTATAAAACGCAAGAAAGTGGGAAACATACGCCTCCTTGGTGTCGGGAACGTCAGTGCCCCATTCTGGCTTAGGGTTCTTCATCATCTCGTCGGTGATTTGGCGCTCGGCCTCATCCTTCAGGCCATCAATCCAGCTGTAGCCAACACCATCGCTGAACTGCTCCTTCTGACGCCAGAGGATCTTGTCGGGCAAGTAGGCAGCGGTCTCAGGCTCATCGGTGGTGTCGAAGGCCTTGCGCAGCATGTGCTTCTCGATACGCTCGGGGGTAATCATCTTGTCCTGGGGGTCAACACCCATGCAGGTCTCGAGGAACTCCTTGTCGAGGAAAGGAACACGGGCCTCAAGACCCCATGCGGAGGTGGACTTGTTGGCACGGAGGCAATCGGCCAAGTGCAAGTTCTTGACACGGCGGACGGTCTCCTTGTGGAGCTCCTCACGGTTGGGGGCAGCGTGGAAGTAGAGGTATCCACCGAAGATCTCGTCGGAACCCTCACCACTCAGAACCATCTTGACACCCATGGCCTTGATCTTGCGGGAGAGCAAGTACATGGGAGTAGAGGCACGGATGGTAGTTACATCGTAGGTCTCGAGGTGGTAGATCACGTCAGAGAGGGCATCGATGCCATCCTTAACAGTGAAGGTGAAGGGGTGGTGCTTGGTGCCGAGGAACTTGGCGACCTCAATGGCAGCAGCAGTATCGGGGGCACCGGGGAGACCGATGGAGAATGAGTGCAGCTGCTGGAAGGTGGTGACGGTCGACAGCTCGTTGTCGTCATCGATACCAACCAACTCACCGTCCACAGTCTCGGTCTTAGGCGCGTTGCGGGCAGCTTCGGCCATGCGGAGGGTCTCACGCTGAGCGATCGACGCGACCAAGCTGGAGTCCAGACCACCAGACAGCAAAACACCGTAGGGCACTTCGGCCATCAGGCGCTTGCGGACAGCCTTCTCAAGGCTGTGACGGATCACCTTGTAGTCAACCGGGGTGGAGGGAACGTTGGCGGGGTCCCACCACTTAGGCTCGAAGTAGCGGGTCAGGGAGTCGGTCTTGGAGTCATAGATGTGGCCGGGGGGGAAGGCAATGATGTCGTCACAGACGGGGTGCAGACACTTAAGCTCAGAGGCAAAGTAGACGGCGCCGGGAGTAGACGAGGAACGACCAAGGTAGAAACTGGTGATACCAATGGGATCACGAGCAGCAACAACGCGGTCCTGCTTCTTATCCCACAGAACCCAAGAGAACATGCCATCGAGGTGCTTGGGGGCATCGAGGCCGTACTCCTCATACTAGTATATATCAGCATTTCCACTCCAACTCGGATTCCGTTATACTGCGCCTGACGTACCAAGGGGATGATAACTTCGCAATCAGAGTGCGTCTTGAAGTTGTACTTGTGGTGAAGGTTCTTGCGAATCAGGCGGTGGTTGTAGATCTCACCGTTGACGGCGAGGGCGAGGGTGCTATCCTCGTTGACGAGGGGCTGGGCACCGGAGTCTAAGAAGATAGTGTTAGCAACTGGATTTTCGAATTGCTGATTGTTCACAGGACCACGTACCAACACCGACGATGCTCAGACGCTCGTGCGCCAGGACTATGAATCACACGTTAGCATACCATGCCGACACCAAAGCTATCGCGTATCAACTCACTAGTGCTCTCAGCGCAGAAGTTTCCACCTGTTAGAAGACTTTTTGTTAACCCTATAATCCCCACATATACTGCGCGATGTTGTAACTCGGTGACTCACTCCAATCGGGACCGCGATGGCGCACACTATAATCCAGAGACGAGTCAGCGACATGTTTTATTGGGAATTGCAAATTGTAGCAATTGAGGGGGAGAAATTGAGATACTCACGCCTTGGCCATGCGCAAAGCCGTAGGCTTGAACTTTTGCACATCGGGGTGACTATAGGACCCTGGTTAGTATTCCCCAAATTGACATCCCAGCGGGAGTTAGGGTAAGACATGACGCACTGGTGGCACGCGAAAATTCCACACATGATGGGCAATTGGGAACTGTGGGTAGAGGTGAAGATCAATTAAGGAGGAGAGATTCGGGAAGAAGGGTAGCAATTGACTAATCGTCCGGTTATATGGGGAACCTTAGAACGGCGATTTTTTTCAAATTTGCCCCGGTGCCCTCCCGGCGGGGCGAGGGGCGATGTCGGCAAGTCTTTGACTCACCGATAAGATAACAACCCTGGATCATTGGCCCAGCTTTTCTATATGTTAAAAGAGTTTTACTACTGTGGCTGAATATGTAGTTATATTAGTGGTTCCCTTTTGTCGGTTTATATTCTTATTAGTCTGTCTCAGTCTGACAGGAAGTCCCTAGAGAGTGATATTGGTTTAACATCACGTGACTAGTATACCCCCACCATGAACTATAGCCCTAGCCAAGACCTCCTTAAATAAGTCTATGCCAATGATTCATCTAATTATTTGCTCAGTTACCCGCGGGGGATTTCAGGTATCAATCGGCAACATAGGCATTCTTCAAATTACCACTTGTTCTAGGGTCCTAGGATTCTAAAGATCATTCAGAGCTCTCGGGAAGACTATCACACTGTGTTACTAAGAAAGATATCTCGGTGTTTATTGATATTCGAAAAACGCTCGTATTATTACCCTACTATTAGCATATAATCATTAAATAATTTTCTGTTATAAAGATAGCTAGAAGAGTCAGTTCTAGAGAGAAAAAGTCGGAGACACTGAAGGCGAGATCAGACTCATCACCTATAAAGATCTATGTAAGACCCACCAGGATTGTATTGGTGATGTGGTGAGATCTTTTTTACATGAGGGGCTCATATGTCTCTTCTCACCTCTCATTTTGGGCCTCAAAAACAGAACGGGATGGTATCATTGAGTTCTACACGATTCAATACTGAAGTGGTGGAAGAATCTAGTTTACAGTGGTGCCTTGGTGTATGTTATAACTCTAGCTACATTGGTAGATATGACGCAGTACTCAATTTTCGGGATTTCAAATGAAGAAAGTTGGCCCGTTTGATTTTTAGTCCATCGAGTAGGTACCTCGCGAGTATCTTGCTAATTAAAAATTCAAGTTGAATGCTCCGCAGGACACCCACCATGGGTTCATTCCATCAGCACAATGAGGTTGTGTTGGCTAGATGATTTTACCTATGCACGGGAGCAAGTAAGTACATTGAAATTTCTTCTGCGAGAGTCATTATGTACTAGATACATGGCAAGCCTAAGCATCCCGGCAAGGAGCATGTATGTGGTATCATTGTTTTTGAATGACCCTAATCCCAGAAAACGCCATCCATTGGGATATGTAGCAACGCCATGCTCGCGATAGAAAAGCAAAAGTTGCTTCCTTCATTAAACAATAAATGCATAATCTGCCCACAATCTGCCCAGTATCCCATGCTGAAAGAATAGAAAAAAGTAAATGACCCATGCAGCGCCATCGCTGTTTACGCTTGGGTAACTCAAAGCCTGATTCGGCCGGTGTCTTAATTGGGCTGGTTTTCTTTGACAGCAATGCGAACCTTGCGCTCGTAGGCAGGACGGTCCTTCTTGAAGAGGTTGTAGGCATCAGCCTGTGCAGGTGACTCGGGGTTCGGGTCATCCAAGAGATCCTGGATGCCAAGCAAGAGCTGCTTAATAGTGATAGCAGGTCGCCAGCCCTCCTCCTCATTCAAAATTGACAGGCAAACCGTTCCAGAAGGGTAAACATTGGGGTGGAACAGTGGTGGTGTGAATTTGCCTAAACAGTTAGTATGAGATTGTCACAAAAAGCCATAGTGATAGCTCCCAGCAGAAGTTCTATCCCGAAAAGCTAGCACGAAAGTATATCGCAAATGAGATACATACATTTGGGGGGCTTGGTAGGATATTCTAGAAGCATGAAAGAATCTAGATTAGTATAAGGATCTTCGGTGGTCATGGATGTATTGCGCCGCTCACCATCGGGAAAAATCAAGTCAATTTTGAAAAGACCACCTTCCCAGAGAGTATTAGCCTTTCCTGGAATGGCACATTCCCAGTTCTTCAGGTCCAGGCCGCCCTGCGGGGCACGTTTCGGCTTTGCGACAAAGCCAAATGGATGATCGCGACGCCATTGCTTTCTGGGGGAATCCATAGAGGTTAGTGAGAGGTAAGGGTGTAGCGCAAGTGATGCGCAAATCGCGGAATCTCTTAGATAAGAAATATGCTTACCGCTCTTCTTGGAGACGGTTCTGGCACAACGACATCTCGGATAGTGTTCAGCGGGTAGCTGAACGAGGTTGACTCGCGGAGGATGAAAGATCAAGCACAAAGATGTAGCTCTACTGCGGGCAGTTGTGGAGCACTATGAGTGGTTGGGAGATAGGGAAAAAAAGAGAGGGAGAAGGATGTGAGGTGATGGAAGATTTTAAAGGTGGCAATCGTCAAAGCCGGGGAGGTGATAGCAATTGACCTCCCCACGCGAACAATGAGTTTGCTTATGTAATACTTGCCCAGGCCTTCGAAGGTTGTCCAGGAACCGTCCCAGGAGCCTCACCTCTATTGTTAGGCATAAATAGCAAATACAACTGGTTTTGTGGTCCTTTTTTGCTCTATCTGACTATTCTTTTTGGTATTTTTATCCAGTCGCAGTCTAAGATCGTTTCTTCTACTTATCCCCAGTACTAGGTAACTAGCTAGTATCTAGGGCTATACACTTACACTTCTTAGCGACTTGATTGCTAGAATAATAAGGTAACTCATAGGAGCACAATCAGTAGAAGCAGAGGGAGTTAAATATTTCATGTCTAATAGAGAGGAACGTTTGAATATAGCCGTTTCCTACGGAGTAGAGAGCTCGCTCTTGGAAAGTGGTAATACTAACGCATGATCTACATTCAATCTCACAGCTCCCAATTATAAGCATTTCTCAGATTTTGATGGTTCCTGATCGACATTAGCCTTGGACCTATATACATCATTTCTATTAATCAAAGTACAATCACTTAAATTATCTATCAATATGTATCTGATGATATTCATCTATCAAGGTCTCATATAAAACAGCAAGCTATAGATTTCAAATTACCCCTACTACCTAATATAACCTCACCTTGGAAGGTTATAAAACATGATGAGTCACTAGCCAACAACGTTCTACATATGACAATCCCCTACAAAGTTATGAACAAAGGTGTTCATATTTTTTTCTAAGATAACAAAGAGTGAAAGACGATCTATACATAATGTCTTTATCAGAGAATAGATATTGGGGTTCAACGAAAATCGCTCCAAGGCTCTTTATTCGAACCCTCGACAATGGCTTTTTCCAACAACAAGAGCTTGTCGGCCGATGCCGACATAGTTATTGTCTGGTCTAAGATGTATAAAAGGAAGTTCTTGCACGGTGTAGAGTATATCCCATACTCAGCCTATCCCGACTCAGCCACCCTCAGCCAAACTCCTACCAGCAATATTTACAAACACCCCAAAGCAATATAGCATCATATACTATCATGTGTCATTCAATTACTTGGTACTTTGCCATGTGCCAGCACCAAGCCCCGGATGCAACATCCTTGATCGCGTGCCTCCAAGCCTTCAAAAATGGCTACGAGTGCACCGAAGAAAACCTAAGCATAACCCCTCTCCCACTTGCAGGGACTTGTCGGCAATGTATTCTTCGTCAGCAGATGCTACGCCAGTCTATGTCCCACGAATTGCAGAGACAGCGTCGTTGGTCTGCAGTATGCCAGGAATTCCAATACAACGAGGAAGACAATTGCAGCATCGACGACAGCGATGCTGAGGAACTTGATGTGCAAACGCGGATCGCCCAGTCTACCAGCTCGGCTTCTAGGGCTGAGAACCGGAAGACCAGCGCATCGTTCCACAGAGGTCCATCACGCATGCCAACCATAGTGCAGCCGTCCTCGCCTCACTTGTCTCATGTTGCTGTGGTTGAAGATGCTCATAATCACGCAGGTGATGAAGAAGATTCTAACGCCAAGCCTTTGCAGGACCCCCTACCTCAGATGAACCGGAGCTGGCACTCTCGGATTCCTCTTCCTACTAGGGTGGTGCGTACCCAGCAGAATCGTACATATCAGGCGCTTATCACTGATGACAATATGTCGGACACAGAGCCTTTGCTCCGGAGTCGCAAGCCGAAGTATCATCGTACTTGGCGTTCCCGGATTCCCCTTCATGTTGGGAAGTTGTCGAAGAAATAGATTGATGAATCAGACTGGTGTGATGGGACGCTTTGATCGATTTTTTTTTTTCTTTTTTGAGATTTCATAGAGGATTGGATGACTTGCTTTCGAGATGCTCCATAGTCTGCTTGTGTTATTGAAAGTTAGCCTTGGAGAACCTTGCCATGAGACCATATCAAATGAATCGAACATTAGCATTGACATAGCGAAATACAAGGGTACGAACATAAGCAATTGGCCCTATAGCCCCGGCCAAACTCACTCGAAAAAGTGTCTGACTTCAATGCCATTAAGTCCCTGTCATTGAGCAAATCCACGCCGTATTCCATGTGCAATAGTCCAGAATGCACAAAGTAGCAAACGATCGGAATGTCATAGCATTCATAAAAAGGCACGAACATAGACCACTAGTCCGTGTAGATCCCCTGGTCGAATTTTTCGGTCTCGAAAAATCGTGCGGCGATTTTGTTGCCATTGAAAATCCGGCCTTCGAGCGCGTTCACGGCCTATCGTTTATGTAATAGTTAGCAATGCACAAACTCACATTTAAATCAAGATGTGGATCTCCAAAACTTACCCGTAGAGCAGACAAGGGATCGCGGAATTTGACAAAGACCGGGACTGGGGTCCCGATGTCGCGAGCGATGAAGACTCGCTCCACGTTTCCATACTAATGAGGCCCTGAAATTAGTAGAAACCCCCAAGCCCGACGAAAGGAAACATACCTTCTCATTACATTCCTCTCCAATCTCCTGCATCAAACCACCATCATTGCTTCCCTCCATCTCGGCATCTAGATCCATGCCGTCAAGCATTCCTCGGAGAATGACCACTTCGCTCATAGGGCCAAACTTGCTAGTTTCGTATTCACTTTTCTCGTTGGTTCCGATGATTTTACCTCGCCCAGCAGGCGTGACAAAGCCACCACCCTCTGAATCTGGTCGCTTCTTGCGCTTCTCAATCTTGACATGCAGAGGGTTCACCATACCAGAACCAGTGGCACCGAGGCCAGATCCCCGAGTCCAGCCATACTTCGAAAGCAGTCGTTCTGCGAAACCGTGTTGTCCGGGACGAAGGGATCGTGGCGCGGACTCATCTGGTCCTTCGTTCTCCTCCACCGGCTGCTCTTGAGCCAATACAGCTTCAAGTTCGGCTTTGGGCGCTGGGATGTCTTCTGGGGGTGGTGGAAGGGTGGGTGTGTTTTCGGAAATTTGGTTAGAATCCTGGGTTTGAGGTTGATGCGTGGTGGGGAGTTGTTGCCCTAATCCTGCACGTCGAGCAAATGCATCCTCGCCCGATTGGTCATTGGGGATCGAAGCTAGTGGTGGCACAACGTTAAGGTTTGACGGCGGCGCAAAGTTGCTGGGAGGAGCAAATTGTCCTGGTAGTATCTTGTTAGTCTGAAGGTCGTCACCATTCGCAGAAGAACTGAACATACGCTTCTTTGGCCGATCATCATCCTCGCTATCTGAAAATGTGCTTGGTGAACGCTTTCTAACATGCGCATACAAGCGATCCTTCCACTCGCGGACTTCACCGTTCTTCTCCTCACTAGGGCGGTACACCAGTTTAGCGGTAGGTCGAGAAATGTCGTAGACATCATCCCAGTTCTGGACAGCATGCGTTTCAACGTTCTTCTTGCGCTTCTTTCTTCCACCACGTTGTCGCTTCTCCCGCGTGTATTCATAGCCACCATCTTCCACGGCGGTCCAATCAGCCAAAGTGGTCTTTGGAGCTTGGTTGGCCGAGGCCTGGACCTGTGGCACGGCCTTGGGTAAATGGTGTTTCGGTTTGGGCTTCTGGGCTGAACGCTGTGGTCTTTTGGGAGGTTGGAACCGAAGAGAAGCTAGAAAAGAGAAAATTAAAAGATTAGAATCCGCTGCTTAAAGTATACAACAAGTCAAAGGGGTAAGGTACATACCAGGATTCAGTTGTTGCTTCTTAGCAGCTGCGACTGCGACCGCGGTCGCGTCATCGGATTGATGTTCGGTTTCCGACTGCTTAAAAACAACTGGGGCACGGGAAATGATACCAGGCGTATCAATAGAAGGATTGAGTAGGTTGGCATACAAGGACATACCCCCTTTAGGGGGGGTGGGTTCAGAAGCCATGGTGGTTGCGGATGATGGTCAACGGCCTGAGGACGACGACGGCCTAAGAATGTCGGCACCGGTCTGGATCTATGCACACCAGTGCGATAAGACCATACGATAAGGCATTCTAACATTATCCCGCTACCGCCTTCTCAACTTGCTATTCATGGATACCGCCCCCACCATCCCTAGTTTTTGACTGGCAAAATAAGAGCGGAGGTAATACGCCACCAAGCACCTAGATAAGAGTAACGCTCATTATGTGGTTCCAACCGGACCTATATATATATCTATGTTGCTGCAATGGACAAACTGTAGGTTTGTCCTAAGATCTTTCAGCCTAGCGATTGAATGCCTGGCCTCCCAGAACTTCTTCTTTTCTTTCTCTTCACCTCTCTTGGCCTATGAACTTAGATGAAGTGTATGTATGTTGTAGTACTATTCCTATTTTTGCACCACGTGACTTGGCCGCAGTATGTCTCGTCGTCCACGGCTACAGCCCCTGGAGTGTCATTGGGCTTACACTACTCCGTACCCCAATGAACTTCACGATCACGTGACTACTTTGACACCATTTGTCAAATTTGGTCATTCAGGACGCCGTACGCTAAGGCAACGGCGACCATTGGTACTCCGCTCCACCACTAACTACTTTTACTATCACGACCAGTATCTTGTTTTACCATTTCTCCCTTTCATTTTCTCAACTGTCCTCAATTGTGCCCTATCTAGTACCAAGGAGCTGCGTCTCAATCTAATAATTTCTGCTGGTAAAGCTGATCCGATCCCGAGCCGATCAAATCCGACTCCGTACAAAATGACCCAGCAAAGGTCAAATCGGTCAAATCCTACAGCATTAGGCAAACCAAAAGGGGTATGTACAATGCATTGCAAATGCAAACACTATTATCCCACTTGTTTTTAGCACTCTCCAACTTTTGCTTTATGCTCCTCTAATAATGATTTGATCCAGTCTCTCAATGCTCCTATTGCTGCTTTTACAATGGCTGTCATCCTTTGTTCATACTGTTTTAGTTCTATCCGCACTGCGCGGCGAGATGCCCAGATGCAAGTTCCGGCGCCGGGCTCCTCTCAGCGAGCTACGCAATTTGAGAGAAAAGACGAGTCTTGGGTTCAACAAGCACTTGATGAAAGTCGAGCGCAGAATGCTGGGAAAGGACGACCTTGAAGTGTGTGCCTATGCTGTAAGGTGCTTTTGTACATGCATGATTATGGATTGAATCCACTACAACGGTGTTTGTGATAAATTATTGTGATACCAATAGATTGAGGTTCTTTGTTGCTATATAGGTGAAACAAAGCAGAATCAGCTGCAAGTAACATCTGTGTCTCACTTATTCAATCAGAATTTTCAGTGTATGAATGATCATGCCCCGGGAGTCCAAGTGTATTGACAACCCAGTTCAATCTTGAAATTGTTCATCATGCGAATAGTGGAGGAATGTGTGGTTTGGGCAAAAGAAAGTGCAAGGTGGGTGCAAGGAAACAGGTGATGGTGAGATTATATAAATATAGCCAAGCTGCCTCTCGATAGATCCAAAGAGCAAAAACTCGATGTGGTTATTGGTTTGACACAAGGCAGATTCCAATGTAAAAGTGGTTAGTAAGTGAACCTGAGCAAATCAATGGCTGATATTGATTTGCCGCTGCATAAATTGATCAAAGTGCCAGCATTAAACACCTTGATAAACCGGATTCCAGATTGATGGTGAAAAAAAAGTGTGAAGGGAGAAGGGAAAAGTAAGAAGGGAAAAAAAATATTGCGGCAGTTTTAAATAGGCGGTCACGTGGTTGCCCCATATGTTAACAACGAACCACTCATCTACTTTGTGGTCAGCCAAGGATGCAGTTTGTAAACGGCAGCCCTCCTGGCCAGATGGAATCATCTTCGGTTACATAATGAGGTGATTCCTAGGTAGATGTCAAAATTTGACATCTCATTCTTTGATGAGGCTGAGCTATGCAGGAGATTTCTCGCTAGAAGGGGGATATGTTGATGGAGAAGAAACATAGAAGACGATCACGGAAATTAGAGATGGTTTCCAATGCGACCTACTCTAAAATTCTACATATTTCTGTACCTTGTTAGCACTCACGAGCAACGTTCTTTTACTGGGCTCGGCAGGGGCATGAAAATTGATAATCAACATGGGCATCTATATGCATCCTTCTCCATAGATCCTAAAGGTTCCACTTGGAAAAGTAAGTTTCACAAAGCCATTTTCTGTCCTTTTTGGCCGTCGACCTATAAGCCTACGAGGCATCTAAAAGGAAGCTGAGAAGACCACTAAAAAGACATTGCAACGCCGAATAAGCGCCCGGCTATTGTGCCTCATATAAACAAACCATGTGCAGACATCTTCATCCCAGAACAATGAAAAACCATAATCCAAACCACCAAGTCATTCCATCTCAAAGACCCTTTATAAACCAGTATAAAGAGAGCAATGGCCAGAAATAAAACCGAAAATACGGTCTCCCTATACAAGATGGTTGAAACTATCAACAAGCAAACAACCAATACCAAACGCTCGTCTCCTTGGGCAGAAGGAATCGTCAAAATTGAGAGCCCTATGACCAATCATAATCATCACTTTCGATGCTCCGTCGCACGATGAAAACCACCAGAGTTGATTTTTCCGTCATCGCCATCATGCGCTATGACTCCTTTGAAAGTCTTATTCTGGTTTGTGATCGCGCGAAAGGGACCTGGATTGGCCTTTGGCTTATTATGATAGTCATAGGTCTTCCCTGTCGACATGACAGGGTACTCGCGAAACGATGTAGTTGAACTATTTGTGCGGACACGAAACAATGGCTGGCGATTTGGACCATTGTCTTCGTTGTAGTATTCGTGAGGATATCCTGATTTCGTGGCCTGGTTGGGGCCCGGTGACTCCCTGAGTTGCTTTTGGACAGTGGCCTGGGAAATCTTGTTTTGCTCTTTGGTTAACAAAGTATTGTGGGTGTACCAATGTGGCTATGCATCACAATCAATAGTCAGCAAATTTGATATCCTAGTTGTTAGACAAAATTGGGATAGGCTCATACCTGTCCAGCCGCAGCTTGTGTTTCCCTTCGAGCCGCAGTTTGGGCTTTCATTGCCTCATTGTTGGTCCCCTTTTTGGGCATAATAGCTGAACAACGAGCAGGCACAATAGAAAGAATAGAAACTGATATATTCCCCCAATATGGAATCCAAATGGCGACAGACTGCTGAAATTATGACTTTTTTGCAAAATAAAAACTTGCGAATCAGCCTCGTAAGATATTCAAAAAGGTGTTCGTTCCTATGAGAATAGTAGAGCATTTATGTATCTCGACGGGGTACTAGTAGCGCTGGAGGCGCTGGAAGTTGAAACCCTTTTCTGTTTCTCATCCGCCTGATAGGAAGACTATTCTTCTATAATTAGTCCCAGTGTGAACTGACCACTAGGATTGTGCATGGTAACGTTTCATGATTAGGCCAGTAAGGTGGAGGAGATATCCTTGACAGAGTCACCACATCAAACTGGCTATCGTGGGGACCATATGGCAGCGGTTAAACCGTGGAGATTATCATCCTCAATTGGCTCAGATGCATAAATAAGGCTGTTCTGGACTGTATACTTAAAACAGAAGAAAGGAAAACACAAACAAGCTAGGGCAATATATTGCCGCCCACGCCACAGATCTGAAGATGCACTTAGGCATTGTCAATTTCCTTTTTGTTTTCTCGTTCTTAGCCTTGTAGTGTATACTTCTATACTTCGCAGGATTTTTTTAAATATCTAGGCTGGTTTCTACAATGTGACTGAAATCGATCAAGGCAATCCCGAATAAGTAGCTATTATCGATGTTCTTTTTTAATACATATATTGTGCTTCTTAGAACATTCCTTACATCGAGGTTATCAAGGTCTAATAATAGTTATATAACTATATTTAGCTTATAGTATCTAATAATATAGTAAGGAGTAGTTACTAGTTATATACGGGCAAAATACGATGTTTCGTGTTGGCGGTTATATACCCCGTTCGACGAACCGCGCGCGTTAGCGTTTCAACAATAAGCCCCGCTTTCACATCTCACTTAAAGTCTACAACATTCCTCTCAAACTTCAATTTTCTAACTCCGATTTCTTTTTTGTCATCATCATGGCTGCACCTCTCCATCTACACCTTGCATCTCTTGATGATGACGACCCATGGATTGTTGAACAGAAATACTTCGCGATCCTAGACAACTCTTTACAGCCAGATAGTCAGGTTTCAGCTGCAGAAGCTGCAACTGGGTTAAATGAGCTCACCCCAATGAACCGTAAGGCAAACGGCGAAGAGGCAGAGGAGCCCGTAAGCTGGTGCTTAGAGTTTTGGGGAACAATCAACGAACTCGTGAAGCAAATTCCTTATGATCATCCCTCACAAGACAAGATGGTTGAGATCATCCAAGAGTTGAAAGCCTTACCCGGAGTGGAAGTTCCAGTTTCCAACACGGTATATATTTCTAGCCATTATTTTTCAGCCGATATCTGATTTGTTAATCCTTTTCTCTAGACAAGACGGATTTGGACAGACCTTCCATATTTAGTGGAGGTATGGTTCGAGTATGCTGTTAGTAAGTTCTACCTTTCGACCTAATGGGTATCTGCATCTAAACTGAATCTTTACCTTACTAAACAGACATCAGACCTAAGGATGGACCATTGGAATTTGAGAGATGGATAAATTGGCAGGCATTTTCAGCCCGTGCCCTCCAAGCTGGCTTAGCAGACTGGTTTCGTCTGGCAACCCGGTGCTTCCGTCATACATTCGAAGAGGAGCACCTTCAAGGAAATGAATTTTCGGAGTCTCTTATCCGCGGCGCGGCGCAGTGGATTGAGTATTCCGGCGAAAGGCTCTTTCAATCCCTTGACAAGTTACCTAAGTTTATTGATCTGAAACCCGGAAAACTATATACAGGAAAAATGGACCTATCCCGTGAGAGATGGGACTTCTGGGAAGCAAGTTTCCGTGCCTGTGCGGGAAACGAGACTTTTACGGCGGAAACTGTGTTGATTTGTGATAAGGCTGCGCAGAAAATGGCCGCAATTGCTGCAAACACGGATGGCAGTGACGAGCAGGGTTGTGACGAGGCGGCAACATCCCAATAAATGCATCGCATATTGTGAGAACATCGGCCTGATTGGTTCCTCCGGCACATAGGGCCGATATCAGCTAGCCGAAGAATAGAACCTACCGTACCCCCGGGGCCGCATATGTTGCTTAGTTAGTATGGAATATCGCATTTCTTTAAGAAATCTATTTCACAATGAGTAGAGAAAAGACTCTGGTTAAAAGATTATTTGACTTAAATCTGACATGCTTGGCGACTTCCTATTGTCGATTAGGGCAGATTATTGGCCCCCTATTTCCCCCTCCTTACACACTCCTTTATATTTCACCGTATTAGTTAAAGAAATGGGGACTAAATTCGACGTGACTCCAGAAAAGCAGGCCAGCGTGCCTCGCTTCTTCTACAATCAGCTCACCGCCAAGCCCGTCATCGTCCAGGGAGTCAGCCTCGCGGGCAAGACTGCCTTGGTGACCGGATCCAACACGGGAGTGGGCCTGGAAACCAGCCGGCAGCTCCTCGATCTGGGACTGAACAAGCTCATTCTTGCCGTCCGTAGTGAGGAGAAAGGTCAGGCGGCGAAGAAGAAGTTATCCGCTGACCGGAACCTGTCCGATGATAGCATCGAGGTCTGGAAACTTGATCAGTCCGACTATGACTCTGTCGTCGCCTTTGCAGAGCGCACCAAGAGCCTCCCCCGGTTGGATATCGTCGTGCTAAACATCGGCATCGGCAACGCGACACGCGTCTTTAACCCTAAAACGGGACATGATGAGATGATCCAGGTCAACTATCTCTCGACAGCCCTACTGACAATTCTACTGCTCCCGGTGGTTAAGGAAAAGCGCGCCGCGCAAGGGTGCCCGAGTCGGATTACGATTGTCTCATCGGAGGTCTCTGGGTGGACAGCCTTTGCGGAGAAGAAAAGCTTTCCGCTTCTCGCATCACTCGACCAGAAGAACGCTAAGGTAGACCCTCTGGATCGGATGATGGTCTCTAAGCTACTAGGACAGTTCTTCCTGTCACATCTGGCCTCCATTGTCCCGCCTGATGTGGTGGTAATCAATGCTGCGTCGCCGGGCTCTGTCCACGATTCCGAGTTCAACCGTGAGCATGATAAGACCTTTTCTGGAGCGATCGCGAAAGTCGTGATGCGCCGGATAGCCCACACCGCTGCAGTTGGAGCTCGAATGATCACCGATGCAGCCGTCAAACATGGCCAGGAGACGCATGGCGAGTTCCTCTCCTTTCAGAAAATTGTGCCGTGAGTTGCTTCTATATATATCATGATTAAAAATATTGCTAAACCCTCTTATAGATTGGCACCTATCATCTACACCGCGGAAGGAAAGAAGATCTCGGAACAGCTCTGGGAGGAGACTAAGGAAGAACTAGCCTTTGCAAATGTGGAGGAGATTCTCGAGGCCATCGGCGACCAGCACCAGTAAACCAAGTGGCTTGAAAAGAATAGAGTTATATTGATAGTAGCATATATCACGTCGATGAGAACGCTGAATCGAGTCCATGAACCCCAGATCTGATGCCTACAACATATGCAAAAGACACCACGGTCAACCTTATATTGTCTCACATTAGAACTCCAGATCATTGAAGACAACCCGCATCATGGCGCCCTCTAGCGGGAAGGGATCAAGAATCTTCTCAACATATTCCGGCCAGTCGTCAATCCACTGCAATAGAGGGAAGATATGAGCGTATTCCCAATGTGAAGGATACCATCCAGCCGTTTCCCAGTCCACAAGAGCAGCTATCTCATACTCTTCTTCATTTGTGACAGAGTTAATAACCTTTCTAATAAGAACATTCTCCCTGTAGAGATCACCATGGGTGAACATAGGTGGATGATTGCAAAGTGCTGATGGAAGTTGACGAGCAAGGTAGTCGGAGAGAAAGCTATGAATATTTGATTCGCTCTAGATGATTTTTGAGCGTAGAGCGATGGCTTTTCCGAATTCTTCTTCCGTCTGAAAAGGCCCGGTAATAGTTAGGTCTTTTTTACGAGAAAAGAAATACCTATGGGGAATGGGTCCTCCGTTAACACTGCCATAAAATCCGGGCGATGGCAGCGCTCTCATTTGGTCGAAGATGCATCGCAACTGTCCAACAATCGACTTCTTATTTGCCTCAGTGAGCAAAGGCCACGCCGTCCCTAAAGAAATGCCGGGGATGTATTCCATAACGATATACAGGGTGTCCTGATCGCGGTACATAGCGTAGAGTCGTGGTACTGGGATGCCGAGCCGCTGTTCAACAAAAAGCAGAGCATGTCCCTCATTGTCAGTCACTAGTGGGCCATATTTCACAACATATTTGTCTCTAATCACAACCATGCGCCCACCAAAATCCGGGCGCTTGGGGAGGGTTCGTGTTGCCTGTTCGATTTCATCTTGATCAGGAAGAGGCCCTGGTAATTGACCAGCATCCCGATAATAAGGAAGGGAGAATGGCATAGTTGGAGGGTGACGTCTCACTGAATGGAACACTTGACGTCAACTTAGGATGCGGCCCATAGTCCACAATGTTAGACCTCCACAAAGCCCCTAAAGCCCACAGCCCAGCCTAGCCCACTAATGGGCTGGGTTTTGGGCCCTATTTTTTAGCCAGCTGGTGGGCCATGGGCCCCGGGTGAAAACCTATGTAGTGGGCTTTCAATGGGGGCCCAATTGGGCCCAATAGGCACCAAACGATGCAGACATGCTAATTTTTCTCAGCTGCGTAAGTAATGCACATATCCCAATTAGTTTGGGGTATTCTAATTACTTCCTAAGCCAAAATTTGTGGATCATATGATGATCTAAAAAGGGAAACAGATGCTGATTCATTAGACTATAGCATTGGAGAGATCTTATGTGGTTAAGCTAGCCAAAAGTATATAAACTTACGAAGACCATGATCAAGATGCGCAGCCAAGGAAAAGCACTCTAGTCCAAATGCCTGCACAGAAAGCTCCGGGCAAGTCTGAGAGCAAAGCGAAGGCTCTTGAACACAAACAACCAGCCTATTTCTTACAACTACCTCTCCATCATGTCAAGATTGAGAAGCGTAAAAAGCGGCCAGATTCAGAGGCTGGCAGCTTCATCACACCTGCTGTGCAACTCAAGATCACCGGAAGCAACAAGAAAGGTAAATATGAAATCAGATCGGAAGTTTAACCGTATAACATCAAGCTACCATTCTCAAAAGTATCCTCGCCTCTTTTCAAATTATCATGAAGCTAAGATCACGCCAATTTTAACTCCAACATTACACTACATATGCACTATAAAGGGGGTGGTCCCAGAGAGATATAGGTGGTCTGAAGCACTGTTAACATTCATATCACACGCTTTGCAATGGTTGAGATGAGATTATCTATCATTTTCCAGCGGGGGTTCCAATTGGGGTATATCCTTCATCTTCCAAAATGAGATATGAAAGCCATTGCTTATTCGAGTGTGTGCATTCACAAGAATGGATAAGCATGTATGATAGGTGATGTATGTACAGAAAAGACATGCAGAAGCCAGGAAGATAGTAGACAAGTTTAGAAAGCAACAAGAGAAAGAAAGGCCATGCTTTGGGTCAAAATAGCCTTTCAGCTGATATGCAGCGGGCATGTGAAGACATGTGAAACAGCTTTCACATGTCAGAATCTCGAAGTCTAGAGACACTGTCATCTAGTTATGCCGAGACATCGTATGTTTTCGGAATACTGTAGCCACAAATTTACTCGCTAAAAATTCATCTTCAAATATCGAAAAAGACGGCCTCGTTCGAGTCTATACATGTTGTGACAAAAGGGAAAAAAATTCGAACTCGGCGATCAGAAGTGGCGGGTGCGATGTTGTAGAAGCGGATGTAAAGGGAGGATGATGGAGAATGGATGTGGTATTTTGTGTGTTGATAGATGAGGATTTCAAATAGATCGCTGAGCTTGTTCTTCCATCTGAATCCTCAGCGCTCCATCATGCTGCAGAGTATTGATCTGCTTCCGCAAGTATTCGTAGGTAAGCATAGTCGTCATCGCAGCCGGGATCGCCCGGAACAGGTTGACGCCGATCCCGGAATAAAACGCACGCCAGCCCTCTTCATGGAGGATTGTCTGGAACGTGCGCACCATGCCATTGTAGCGTGGGCGACTGCGCATTCCGTCTGAGGAGGATATGCCACCCGACCGGCCGCGGTCATGTGGATGTTTCAATCCGCCGCGGAACGCAATTTCTTCGTGGGATTGTGCCGGAATAGTTCGTTGCTGTGTTTGGAGTCGGGTCCGCAAGACCTCGTGCGGATATGTGACTGTGCTTGCACAAACTTTGCTGAGGAAAGTGGCGAGGGATATTCCCATCCAGTGTGAGCTACCGGTATCAGGGTGTTCACCGATACCATAGCCTGTAAGCGCCATCTTTAAATATTCGTAGAGGGGGAATTGAATGGCCACATGGGTTAGTCCGAGCAGAGCTGGAGTAAGACCAGAGTAGAAGGAGCGAATGCCCTCAATTTGGTACATCTTGCGAGCAGCATCCCAGGTACCTGAGTATTGCCAAGGGGCTCGCACTCCTTCGCTGTTTTGTTTAAGGCTTTGTGACATGAGCCTGGTCTTGATGACCCAAATGGGGTTCGTCACAATCGTTGAGCATGCACCGGCTGTGATGGAAGCATAGCCTCGGGATAACCACCAGCTTCCTGTAAATGGTCAATACTAATGAATGACCCTATCCTCCATTCTGGAGGTACCTACCTGTCTGGTCATAGAAATATTCACGAGTCCGGTCATAAACCGCGAGATAGACAGCCCAGGTGGGGAGATATCCCAGCAACATTGGACCTAGTCCTTGGTAGAGACCGCGAATACCATCTTCCCGCCAGATCTTCCTTCCGCTTCCGAGCATACCACGATACAGCATCCCCGAGCCAACTTCCATTGCTCCCCGCCGAAACCCACCCTGGGCTTGGAGCTTCGTTTTGATGACATCAAGAGGACAGGTGACAATGCCAGAGGCCACGCCAGCGCTGGCTCCGCAGAAAGGTGCTATGTAAAAGTTGGGTATCTTGGTGGAAAAGACCTCGAGGCGGGCTTTGAGATCGGAGCTTGGTACAGCCGGCACATTGGGGGCATTGTCGACATGGATCGATCGAGTTTGGTTTTGGGAGCTGTCTGGAGCGCTTTGGCCGTTTGTAGTCATTTTGGTGGCCGGCGCTCACGCAGCTTGTCGAACCGTACTGAATCAACGAGGGACTCCGGACACGAGCATATCGGGTGCTCGATCCGGAACCCAGGAACCCTATTTCAAACCGAGCTGGTAAAGAAACGTAGATTTATCCGAATATCCAAAGTCCGTAGATGGTGTAAGGAGAAAGATATGAGAAATGACGGAGGATTGAGAGAAAGTTTTCTGGGGCCGATGGTTACCGAACCCGGTGTGCTTGCTTTTGAATGCGCAATGTTCTATGCTCTGCAGCACGGACGTGGGCGGGGTTCTTAGAACGAACAAGCTTCTCGGAATAAGCAGGGATCAGTGATTGCTTTGAGACTTAACAAATCTCACCTCTGTCAAAACAAGCGATAAGACTGAGAAGGGGATATGACATAGGAAACCCATTCGTTAAGTGGAGTGCGCTGCTCCCAGTCTCTCCACCGCCTGAGGCATAAAGATCACGTGGGTGGCGCCTCAGGCGTATAATTTCCGCTTCGGGACTAGCCGCCCGAGCTCCCGTTTTGCACAACCTCGCAACATCGGGTCATCTCGTGTTCCAGTCGGATAGCCTTTCTAACCCTTCACAACACCCACGTCAATTGGGATACCCGGGATTCAAAATGTCTGCCCCTTCGCTCGCCAGTTACATCGTCAAGCGCCCATGGCTCAAGAGCTGGCTCACCCCTCTCTCCCACTGGTACACCGATGCCGCCGGCTACAGGAGACTCGGACTCAAGTAATTCTCCCACATCGACAACCCCCGACCACGAGCGATTGAAACAATGATTTGGAATTGGCTGGTTGGATTCGTCGCGCACCGGTGGCATATCTTTGGAATGCGATCGCAGTGTCGGATTTGCCCGGAGCCCCGGTCTTTCGGATATCGCTCGTGGCATGGTTGTACTGAAACACTTACTGACTGTCCAACTAGGTTCGATGACCTGATCCCCGAGGAGAGCGAGAACGTCCAGAAGGCCATCAAGCGTCTTCCTGCCAAGGAGGCCTACGACCGTGTCTTCCGTATCCGCCGTGCTTTCCAGGTTCGACTCCCTTGCTCTGTATCTGACTGGCGCAAAACCTAACAAATGTGTCAATTGCAGTGCTCCATCTCCCACACTCTCCTTCCCGCCCACGAGCAGATCAAGCCCGAGGAGGTGAGTCCCCAACATCCAAATTTCGCCCTCCCCGCAATGGACTCCATATCGGCCAATCCTGTTGCACGGATTTGTCACATCCACCCTGACTCCATTTTGGGGGATCTACTCACCACAAGGAACACAAGGAACACAATGCTAACGATGTGGATCAAAATAGGACGTCGAGTACCTCAGCCCTATCATCCGCGAGATCGAGAAGGAGGCTAAGGAGCGTGCTGACCTTGACAACCTTGTTGTCCGCAAGTAAGCCGTTGCTGCCTTGTTCAATAGAATATGAAAACAGGGGGTTGGGGTAGCATTGTTGTTGGCATGGAATAAACGCCTGGTGTGCTTTCTTCGTAATGGAATGGGCGCCGTCGTCGGCGGCCCATGGCTTGGTTACGCAGCCTGAGTGTACTCATACTGTACAAATCAATTTTCTTCGCGCGATTATACATATTTGTGGTCAATCTTGTAATCGACAAGCGGGTCTTGAACCTCTTGCTAGATTGATAAACTCTGGCGATTAATGGGTTGGTTCTAGATATCCTATGCAGGTTGTGGTAGCTGGTCTATTTGGGTGTTGGGTGCCCAACATCTAGCTATACATGTATAACACCTTCAATTATACTATTTCTCACAGCCACGAAACCAGTGTCACAATCCACTCTCAAAGGTTGACTTTATGCACTATGGCAATGTCTATACTACAGCACTATCTCAAATGGGATCAATGTCCAGCAAATAACATGGTATCAACAGCCTGATTCAAGAAGGGAAACACCCATGGACATCCTCCTATGTGGTTCAACCACCAAGAACAGCCACATCGACGTCCTCAATCCGCCACATATACCACATGAATAGACTCCTGGATGAACCAAGTAAGCACACTATCTACACCACATGGACAGGGCCAGACGTACCTATATGGTGCAAACTTGGCAGCAAGTTCTAGCATATCCTTTTCCGCCATATATTTAAACTTACCACCACCCTTGCCCTTAAGTTTGCTCACATCACGACCCATAAAGGCAGCACAGCCCCGTCTACTAAGCCGTCAGCAAGCGTTTCCCCTAAGCCATCACACAAACGATCCCTGGCCAGACCAACAAGCTGCATAGAACAAGGCAAGAAATACACTTACTGTACTCCCAAATCTCCAGTAGAAAACACATCAATGCGCTTGAGCGCAAACATAGCAAACATCTCAACTGACCACTTCCCCAGTCCACGAACAGCAATGAGCTTCTCAAAAAGCTCCTCATCAGTAGCTCGAGCCAGCATCCGCGCTCCAAGCTCTCCACTGGCAAATTTTTCCGCGAGACCTTGAATATATTCCGCCTTGCGCTGCGACAGCCCCGCCGTACGGAGGGTAGGGATATCACACTTGGCGACCTGATCTGGGGTCGGGAACTTTGCATGTTTATGCCCATCAGGCGCAACAGTATCGGGTAAATCAAAAAGCGCCACAAACTTGTTCCTGATAGACTTTGCTGCTGCGCCAGAGACTTGCTGGCCGATGATGCTGCTGGTCAGGCTGTTGAAGGGGTCGATTTCCTCTGCTAAGCCAGCAGGTGAGAAGAGCGGACATGGATGCTGCTCAATCACCGTTGCGATGCGTGGATCTGTTGCTATGAGGTGTGCGGTGGCTTTCTCGAGCAGTGTCCCTGTTGTTGCCGTTGGCCGTGGAAGGCCCGTTTTCGAGGGGGAGGTATCTTCAAGGTGTGCTGGGTAGGCATTTACGGTTGTGCCGTGAGGGGTGATCAAAGTTGCATTTGTTCGGTGCGGATCGACGGGGCGGTCCAGTGGGGGTGGTGTCTGAGGTCTGAATATCGTGGGGTTAGTGGTTGAGGGCTGAATGTCTGTTTCTTGTTTCTCTGTGACTGCTGGCTCAGGGGACCAATAGGATGTTCCTGATTTTGGCTTCGACTTTGCAGGTCTTTTATCTGACTTGTTGGACTTTGTGGGCGCCTTGCGAGGTTTCGTCACTGCGCTGCGTTGGACTCTGGTTACTTGACTTGGAGCTGAGCTTTGCAGTAGTGGTGTCTTGACGGTTGGGATGGAACCCAGTCGTGCTGAGCGCCTGAGCGACATTCTTGAATAATATATGGGATAGTTCAGTTTCAATGACCTGTATACTGGGCTTAAAGAAGTCTTGAGAAGTTTGTAAACCAAGCTGGGATTTGCGGAGGTGCGGAGTTGGAGATTCGCCGCGCTACCCCACGAGTGCCAAGCATTTGGAATGACACTCTTCAATTACACCTATGCAAGCTTCTATCATTGAGCATTGAATCTCGATATGATAGTCGATTCCATTTCTTTTGTGCATACCTATATTGGTCCTATTTATCATCGATAGCATATATTGGCATATATAATTTTCAACCTCGAAGCAAACTTGAAACGCTATTATCCATCTCGAATTAGCATAGCCATCGTGGCTTGTCTACAGCATACATCGGCCCTTAAGGTTACTGTCACTGCCTCTGGGTTACCGTGACAACCGCCGACTAATCCTCATATTGTGGGCTACGTGCTGCTAAATATCAGTCACAGGGCTCTGGATATCGCACGGGAGTTAAATTTGCAACTCAAACTTCTTGAGAATCAAAACCCCGTCAATGAGCGTGATGTGATCATTATGAGGACTAGCAGAAGATAATTGAATATGTAATGCATGGTTTTCGTAATGTTCGCGGATGATTCTATGATTTCGTTATATATTGCAAGCACAAAAGGTTGGAAAAAGCCTCAATCTAAATACAATATATACACAAAGGCGAATCCAAGGGCTATTCGAACCAAGGAATTTACTGGAATATCTCAATACAGTAGACAGCTATAAATACTCGTCAATTCAATGGTAACAACAAACCAGTTTTGAAATCTTGGAAGATACGAAAAGTATGAAGAGGATAGTACCCTGGATTTATACTGAAAAGTCACGCGATTGGGTGCGATATACTCCGCTGTTGTACAATTCCAAGGAACCATCCGCAAGAACACCCGTGGACCAAAAATCAAAACGAGATCCATGGTAGCTCCGTAATACACACAAATACGCCTTCTACAACTTTCAACCAGGATCAACCTTGCATACATGTAGGTGCAGTTAAGGATATATCGGTGTGGTGTTGAGGTACTAGATACTCTGTAGATATTGCTTCAAAGTTTTGGTACTTACGTCAGTAATCTACGATTATATTGACCGTCCCGACTAATTATATCCGGGAGGGAAAAAAGGAAAAGAAAAACAATTCAGTGGAGAAGAACCATCCATTAGATCGACCAGTAAAAACAATGATTAACATTTAGGCCGAAGCGTTGGACCGAGTCAAATCCCCAAAGACGTTCGTGCATCAGTTTGAAACCAGAATGAATCCTTGTTTGTGAGACCATTAGTCTCAGAAGGCAACAGACCATGAGAAACGCTAAAAAGCTTCGCATTGCAGCCATAGTCTGCACAGCTAGGATAATCCGAATTAGAATACAAATACATACCCTAGGGTGCTCGAATGAATTGTGGATGTTTACTTTTCGATCATGGTGTGTCTAGAGAATGTGACAATCCGCGACCCCTAGATACACACCAGTTCCTGGGCGTTCTAGGCATTCCGGTAGTCTCCCGGCCTTCTAGGTCGACAGGATAGGAATGTGGATTGAATGCCATCAGAAATTGTACACATGTGTCTTTCGTACTGTGACAAGTGGCTGCATAGTGTAGAACCGCCAGCGCAGAGTTGGACTTATGCCTGATCACCAGGCAAGTATTAAGATTGTCGGGTTTCTACAATTTTGTACAACAGTTGTAGACTTGTATTTTTGCTACAAGACAAAGAATAGAACTTGAATGACCCAAACATTTTTGATAGGGTCCTAAGCGATCAAAAAAAAACATTCATATCACTTGGTGGAGAGAGTGGGGTGAGACGTATCGAGTGAAACATTTGCCAAATTTGGAAATTTACGCTGTACATATGTAACATCCGATAATGACTTTGTTGCCACCCAAAAGGGGAACAACTGTATGTAATTATCGAGTCCATACTGTCGATTTCATTGGGGTTTGAAGAGATTTGGAGGATATGCTGTAGAATAATCTATCAAAGATTTGCCGGGCCGATGAAGCTCTAGACATCCATGGGTGGCTTGATCGTCGCATCTTAATTGAAGCTCCATCCCCGAGGCGCATTATTACCGAAAACGCACAGATATTGAAAATTTCATGTGTCAATACGTCGTACATTGAAAATTTCCAGGTTGCGTCTTGGAGCTGCATCATCGTAAACTCCATCCATCATTGTGATTTAAAGCTGTACTTTGTGTAATATAGGCAAGGTAGCTGCATGTATACCCGTCTAGCCAAGTACCGAGTTGGGTGCAAATGGAAAGTGTGGCGAATTTCCAGAATCAGTGGTGATCGACGATCTTTGACAGTTAAATCACCTCTTATACCAGCTATTGTGCGCATAGAACATAAAATAGGGGCTGGATCGACCTTCTCTGACACTATCTGCACATCCCACTCGCGAGGGGGGCGATTATTTCGTCTCAGGTCGAGGTGTATTTTCGGAAAACAGCGAGGATTGGCAGAACATAATCCAGGAGTCATTCCAATGTGCCAATAAGAAGTCGCGCATGCCAGGGAATCGACGATAGCGGCAGGGGCGGGGCCATACAAGGCTTGGGTTCCCACAAATTTAGATCGACCACTATCAAAGTGAGAAGCTTCGACGAATTTGACGATTGCGTGTCTAGTGTTTCGCGTAGGAGGTTGATATGTGCAGTGTTAGAAGGATTCAGTGCGTCTGGCAAATATATTGTACAATAATAGCTATAGGGGTGGGAGATTGTCTCATATAAATGTAATGATATCCAATGAGAAGCAAAGTCACAAGATAAAACAATTGAAGATCAACAGGAGAGTCTCGAGCTTGGTTGCATGGATGACGACAACAGGCGATAAATAGGATGGGGCCGTTAATAAATTGGCTAGGGAACTTTGGATTAACCTGTTAAGTGTAGGATTGGACGTCACAAGCTAGTATTTATGCATTATTATTAGATCCTTCTAGTATTAACGGTGTATCTCCTGTACTCCGTCCCTCTGGACCCCGTAGATGAGCATAAATATGAGATTTTTGTGTTCAAGATAATACTCCAAATGTTGTTTTTCTACTGTTGATGGACCCGAACAAGATAACTGCAAATGATTATATGGTTGTACAGAACATATTCACACCATGCCGAGGTAATCACCCCTCAAGTTGTACAGGGTACCTTACCGAGTGCATGGCCCAATTTGAAAATTAACAGCAAATATATCTGAATTCCAATATTTCTGCCATGGAAACATATCAAATAAAATACTCAAACCAGATTCTACAAGAAAGGGGAAGGATAACAACCCTGGAAGTAATAGAACTTTCAAAAGCAGGAATTGGTGAATATTTGTTTTTTTAATTGAGTTTGGAGTAATTTTTAATTTTTAGTAATTTTACTGTAAATCAGACTGTAATCAGGGTGTAATACAAAATTACCTGGCACTGCCCTGGTACGGAGACACGCCGGATGCGGTACTGTGTGTGTTTTGCTTCCCCCCTTGGTATGGCATTTTAAAGGAAAATGAAAAAAAAGTGGTACCTGGTAAGATTAGTACAATCTCCACCTCCCCTTTCCTCACTCCCTTCTTCTTCTTTCTCCTCCAACCTTCGTCCATTCGTTCTTACCATTTGAGAGTTCCTGCCTTGTCCACTTGGCAGTATTTTCGCTTCCCTCTCGTTTGAAGCGCTTCTTCTCTAATCACTCATTGCGAATTTTCTCTATTGCATTCAAATATCTCTAATCGGTATATAAACCCACCCCTGATCATCAAAATTCATCACTGACAAGTGCAGAATCATGTCTCTCAAGTACATCCTCCCTGTGCTCGCCGCCACCCAGGCTGTTTTCGCTGCCTGTGAGTATTTCTTGTTGCTGGCATTATTATACATCGATTAACTGTGATACAGCCGATGACTGCGGCGATACCAAGATCAAGACCCAGAGCGATGCCGATGGAATCAACACCTGCACCAAGATCAAGGGTGATATCACCATCGACAAGTCCTTCAGCGGCGACCTCCAGATCAACGGCGTTGAGGAGATCACCGGTGGTCTGATCTGCTCCGGTGGTCAGAATGTCAGCTCCATCACCGCTGGCTCCCTCACCTCGATCGGCAAGGCCTTCGACCTCCAGGGACTCACCACCCTGACCCTGCTCAGCTTCGCTGAGCTCGACTCCGTTGGTTCGATCAGCTGGGAGGCTCTCCCCAAGCTCCAGTCCCTGGCATTCGGCAAGGGTGTCACTAAGGCTGGTGATGTCAGCATCGCCAACACTGGTCTCAATGACCTGAACGGTATCTCCCTCAAGACCGTCGGTACCTTCAAGATCCAGAACAACCGTGATCTGCGCACCATCAACATCAACAACCTCCAGAACGCCACCGATCTGATCAGCTTCTCGGGTAACTACGATACCCTCGAGGTCGACCTCCCCAACCTGGGCACCGGTACCAACATGACCTTCCAGAACATCTCCTCCGTCTCCGTGCCTTCTCTCGAGAAGCTCACTGGTCAGCTCGGCTTCTGGGGTACCAAGTTCCAGACCTTCTCCGCTCCCAACCTGACTCAGACCGGTGACCTGATCTTCAAGGACAACACCAAGCTGTCCAACATCAGCATGCCCGTCCTCAAGACTGTCGCCGGTGGTTTCACCATTGCCCGTGATGATAAGCTCTCTACCATCAGCCTCCCCATGCTGCAGCGTGTCAACGGTGCCATTGACTTCAGCGGTACCTTCAACAAGTAAGTGACCTTGGTTCCATCGCTTTGTCTACGCATATATACTAACAGCGAATAGGCTTTCTCTTGGTGCTCTCAAGGACGTTGAGGGTAGCTTCAACATGCAGAGCACCCGCGGTAACTTCAGCTGCGACGACCTCCGCAAGCTGAAGGACGACGATGTCATCAAGGGTAACTTCAAGTGTGATGCCACCAACGCCAACCCCACTACCTCCGACGGAAAGTCTGGCAGCTCCAGCTCTAGCTCCAGC